CTGGAGGGTGGGGGGTGAGGGAAGGGCAACAGCCCAAGACCCAGGCATGGAGACAGGGAGATGAGGGGCAGGGCACCCAGTGTCCCGGCAGACGGGGCAGCAGGACTGGACACAGGCTAGCCACGCTCCTTTGGAGGAGCGGGGAGCCCCGGGGGAGCCAGGCCTCTCCCAGCTCAGCTGCTAGGTGCTGGGCCCAGTACCCTGGGCAGGTGGGACCTCCTGTCGGCCAAGAGAAACTGCATCGGAGGGTCTCCCACGCCCCAGCTGTCTGCCTGCCCAGCAGCCAATTTCACAACTGTTCCCTGTACCGGCTTCATATGCCCGTGGCTTGGCCAGTCGGCCCCACTGCACCCTGCCCCCAGAGCCCCAACTGGCCCTGAACCCCAGAGATGGTCGTGGGATCCATCTGCCCTTGTACCCTCCCCACAGCTGGTGGTGGGGTGAGGCGGGGGTCACTGGTGCCTCCCCTTGACAGAGCCAGGGTTAGCCCAGACCTGCCACCCAGGACACAGCTCCTCCTGCTCGGGGTCCCGGGATGCTCAGCAGGGGGTCCCTTGTGGAAGTCAGGGGCTGGGAACCAGGCTCAGGGCCGCCAAGGCCTGGGCCGCGTGTGGCTGCCCTGGCGGAGAAGTGGGCCTAGGAGCGGAGGGGCTGGTGTACGTGCCCAGGGCCTGCCACAGGGTTCTGAAGCTGGGTCAGGCCAGACCTCCGCCTGCCAGGGCCCATGCCGGCCAGAGTGGCCACCACGCTGATGGCCAGGGCCGGGGCGGGGACAGTCGGAGTGGCTCCCTGCAGCCGGCACGGGCAGAGCCAGGCCATGGACTCCTGGGCGCCCTGCTGGAGTGAAGGCGGCTGAGGCCTCCGCCAGCTGCCCGGCACGACCCCGGACGTCCTGGGGGAGCAGGGGCCAGCCTGGGCCCCCGACCTCCTCCAGCAGCCCTCTCTCCGGGCTCCCACTCCAGGAATGTGCCCCTCCCCCCTCACATCCCTTTTCCTGCACTTCCCCCATGCGGAAACCGGCTCGGATCTGGCCGAGGTGCCCAGCGGAAGCCAGGGGGAGAGGGGCCCAGGGGCCGGGAAGGAGCTGCGTGCCCCACCCAGGTGGGCATGCCTCTATGCAGGCAGCACATGGAGGCTGGCATCACCCCCAGCCCGTGGCAGTGGTTCTACCTGGGGGCTTGAGACCATGCGGACGGCCCAGGGGGTCATGTCCACCCCACACCCGGCCTCCCCGTCAACATGCTGGGCAGAGAGGTGGACAGAGCCAGAAGACACTATAATAGGGTGGGCAGGCAGCCATCCCCGACCACCAGATCCAGAGGAAGCAGCTGAGGGACAGCACAGCTCAGCCCAGCTGCCCCCTGGGGCGCGCTCGCAGGCCACAGGACTCGGAGACCGGGCAAGGCTGGCGGCGCCGGCTGGACTGCCCAGTGCCTGCTTCCTGCCCGCTGCCCAGCCTGTGGCTCGCGCTGGCTGGAGCCCCCCTCCACCAGGTGCCGGAAGCGAGCTCGGGGCCTGCAGAGTGGACGCCAAGAGGCAAGCCAGGCTGGGCAGAAGCCGGGACCCGGCCATCGTCTGCCGCTGTTCCTGCCCTGGCCTGGCGAGGGTTTGTTATTCGATCCGCCCGGGCCTTCCACCAGGTGTCTGTGTCGCTGGGAAGAAGCACGCTCCTCGTTCCCACGCTCCCCGACACATTTTAATGAATTAGCTGGAAGCCCCGCCCCCGCTCCCCTCCCCCCAGGCAGGGGCCCGAAGGTGGCCCCGGCTCAGCCCAGCTCTGGCCAGCTGCGCTGTCCTGCCCCAAGCCAGCCCAGGCAGCCCCGGCCAGGCTCCTGGGGTATCCCCGCGCCCCCCGTACCATCACCTGCTGAACACAGGAGACCCCAGCCTCGCTTCTGTGACAGGTGGCTGCATGGCAGGGGAGGAGGGACGGGTCCAGCGGTGTGGCAAGGGCTGGGCCTGTCCCTGCAGGCCCCTGGGCCCACAGAGAACAGGGTGGGAAGAACCCACAGCGTCGGGGCCTTACAGCTGCCCCTCCCCCCGTGAGTGACAGGCCTGACACCAGGCCCTCAAACCCGACACCAAGGGGCCCCACATGACACCAATATGACACCAATGGGCCGTGCTTGACACCAAGGACCCCCTCCTGACACCAAGGACGCCCTCCTGACACCAAGGACCCCCTCCTGACACCAAGGGCCCCCCCAACACCAAGGACCCCTCCTGACACCAAGGACCCCCTCTCCTGACACCGAGGGCCCCCTGCCTGACACCAAGGACCCCCTTGTCTGACACCAAGGACCCCCCGCTGGCACCAAGGACCCCCTCCTGACACCAAGGACCCCCTCCTGACACCAAGGGCCCCCCCAACATCAAGGACCCCCTCCTGACACCAAGGGCCCCCTCCTGACACCAAGGACCCCCTTGTCTGACACCAAGGACCCCCCGCTGGCACCAAGGACCCCCTCCTGACACCAAGGACCCCCTCCTGACACCAAGGGCCCCCCCAACATCAAGGACCCCCTCCTGACACCAAGGACCCCCCTCCTGACACCAAGGGGCCCCCCGCCTGACACCAAGGGCCCCCTGCCTGACACCAAGGACCCCTTTGCCTGACACCAAGGACCCCCTTGCCTGACACCAAGGACCCCCCCAACACCAAGGACCCCCTCCTGACACCAAGGACCCCCCTCCTGACACCAAGGGGCCCCCCCGCCTGACACCAAGGGCCCCCCGCCTGACACCAAGGGCCTCCTCCTGACACCAAGGACCCCTTTGCCTGACACCAAGGGCCCCTTTGCCTGACACCAAGGACCCCCTTGCCTGACACCAAGGGTCCCCCGCCTGACACCAAGGAGCCTCCCCTCGCCCAACACCCCAGGGGCCCTGCCTGACACCAAGGGGCCTCTGAGCCTGACACCAAAGGCCCCGCTCCACCCAACACCACAGGGGCCCAACCCCCGCCCGACATCAAGGGACCCGACCTGACACCAAGGCGCCCTGGCCGCCCGGCACCACAGGGGCCCCACCGTCCATTTGGAGCAGGTGTCTGCCATTTGGTCGTGTCCTTCAGCGGACGGCAAGAAGTGCTGCCCCCACGCCCTTCCATCCTCAGCACCAGTAGGACCCCCCATGAGGCCTAACCCTCCGACGCCTCTCCCAAGGCCCCCCAACAGGCTGACAGCATGTGGCCCCAGCAAACGGCAGGTCTGGCCGTCTGCATCTGACCCCCACTCTGGACTGGGCTGGGCTCTGACCGCACATCGGCTGCACCGTCCCTGCCGCTGATTTCACGCCCGTGGCGGCCGCCCGCGTTCCCACGCTGTTCACACAAGGCCCTTTGTCTGCCTGGCTGCTGCCGGAGTGGACGGGGCGCTCCCAGGCTCGGCCGCGGCCCTTCTCCCAGCCCCACTGGAGCCCACCTGGCTGGGACCCACGGGACCCCAACCCTCCCCCAGGCACAGGCCTCTACGGGACATAGGTGTGACCCCCACCTTGCTGCACCCCCACCCAGCCCCAGCTGTCCCTGTGACTGCAATGACCCCACCTGCTCAGCAGGGACACCCCTTGAGAGAAGCAGAGGGTCCTGTCCAACCTCAGAGAGACCAAAGTGGGTCTGCAGCAGGGCACCTCAGAAACTCAGCTCTGAGGCCACAGAGAGGACGCATGGGAGCGAGGGGCTCTGCTCAGCCGGCCAGTTTGTGACCTCTCAAAAGTCCAGGACGGGAGCTGGACCGTGTTCACCCTGGGGCAAGGCCTGGCACAGCGGTCCCGGGCCCAAGGCGGCCCCCTGGAGTGCCCAGCCTGGAGCACCCAGGAGCACCCAGCCTGGAGCACCCAGCCTGGAGCACCCAGGAGTGCCCAGCCTGGAGTGCCCAGCCTGGAGCACCCAGGAGCACCCAGCCTGGAGCACCCAGGAGCACCCAGCCTGGAGCACCCAGCCTGGAGCACCCAGCCTGGAGCACCCAGGAGTGCCCAGCCTGGAGTGCCCAGCCTGGAGCACCCAGGAGCACCCAGCCTGGAGCACCCAGGAGTGCCCAGCCTGGAGTGCCCAGCCTGGAGTGCCTAGCCAGGAGCACCCAGCCTGGAGCACCCAGCCTGGAGCGCCCAGCCTGGAGCACCCAGCCTGGAGCACCCAGCCTGGAGCACCCAACCTGGCTCCACGCTTCAAGCCCGGGCCTGCCCGGCCTCGTTGCTGCCTTGCTCCCAGCTCCCGACGACCGCAGGAGCGGGAAGTGGGGCAAATGCTGGCGAGGACACAGACGCGGCTGTGCGCGGTCTCTCCCGAACTCCGGGCTCCTCACCTGGGGCTGCCCACCTGGCCCAGCCTCGGGGGCGGGGCGAAAGGCTTCGCGCCCCTCCCCGCGGCCGCGCCCCCGGCCTCGTCTTCCGCGCGCGGGAGCGGGCACGGGGACCCACCCACTTGGACAGGTGCCCCGCCACTAGGGGGTCCCCCCGGCACACCCCTAACCTAATCGGGCAGCGGCTGCGTCGGGGTCGCCTTGGTCCAGAAGGCTGAGCCTTCCCTGCGTGGCCGGAAGCAGTGGCGCGGACGCCAGAGGAGGCAGGGGCGGCGACGGCGGCGGGACCCTCCTCCCGCCCGGGGCCACCTGGCCGCCTCCGCCCCGCCGCCGCCCGCGACCGGCGGCCCCAGGCGCGGGGCTCGGCGCCGCCCGGGCCCGCTCCGCCCCTCCGCGCGCGGCCCAATGGGCAGGCGGGTGGCGCGCGCGTCACGGACGCCCATTGTTATGCAAATACCAGGGGGGTAAAAGGCGCCGGGGCGCGGCGGGCGGGCCAGTGCAGCGGCGCGGCGGGGAGGCGCGTGGGGCCGCGTGGGAGCCGCGTGGGAGCCCAGCCGGGAGCGGGAGCGGCCGTCCGCGGCCGGGCCCGGCCCGCGAGCGCTGCATGCGCGCCCGGAGCGCGGCGGGCCGGCGTGCGGGGCTCGGGGGCGGCGCGCCCTCCAAGCCCCGAGGCGCGCGCGCGCCCAGCCCCGCGGCGGCCGCAGCATGAGCCAGGCCGAGCTGTCCACCTGCCCGGCGCCGCCGGCGCAGCGCGTCTTCCAGGAGGCCGTGCGCCGCGGCAACGCGCGCGAGCTGCGCTCGCTGCTGCAGAACATGCGCGGCTGTGAGGTCAACGTGAACTCGTTCGGGCCCGAGGGCCAGACGGCGCTGCACCAGTCGGTCCTCGCGGGCAACCTGGAGCTGGTCAAGCTGCTCGTCCAGTTCGGCGCCGACATCCGCCTGGCCAACCGCGACGGCTGGAGCGCGCTGCACATGGCGGCGTTCGGCGGCCGCCAGGACATCGCGCTCTACCTCATCACCAAGGCCAAGTACGCCGCGGGCGGCCGGTGACGCCCGCGCCCCGCACCGCGCCGCACTTCCCGCCAACTACCTCGGCGTCCCGCCCGCCGCCGCCGCCGCACCCCCGACGGCGCGCCGCCGACCGGGTCCCCCCGCGGCTCGGCACGTGCGTGGAGTTGACGGTGCAGACCGCGCTTGCCCGGTTGTTGTCGCCTTGCGTCTGTGCGTGGCCGCGGGAGGGGAGAGCGCGTTGCCTTTGCGTTTGGTCGCTGTTTTTCTTGAAATCGAAAACTTGAGCCGGCCATGGCCCGGTGGCACTGCAGCCGCCACCCAGAGCGGGGGTGCGGGCGCGCCCCCTTCCAGCGCGCTCTGTCATCGCTGACGTCGGTTGCACATTTATTTAACGTCAACGGATTTCCCACGGTTAGCCGTCATAACATTTATGACGCAATGCAAGGTATTCACGCGTGAAGCCGCGGCCCGTCGGGGGTCCCCGACACCCCGGGCGGGCGCCGCGAACCCTGAGCGCGGCGATTCACATGGAAACGAGGCTTCCCCTCCGCCAAGTGCTGCTGACCCTCCGTGCAGAAATGGGAGCGCTCGGGACACAGGTGGGCGGAGGCCCTTTGCGCGCGGCGGGGCGTTCCGGATGCCAGCGCCTCCCCCAGGACCTGCGTTCTCGCCAGGACTGCCCGGGCGCACGAGGCCGCCTCTACCTGGATCCCGTCCCGAGGGCACCCCAGACTGGCGGCGCAGCACGAATCGATAAATAAATTTTCCACTGATTCTTTTTTTCAATATTCAAGAAGACGCGTGCTGGTCCGTGCGTCAGCGCCTCCCGGGAGTGCGGGACTGGCGAGGGGCCAGACGCCCCTCCACGCACCCCCACCTGCCAGAGCCCCTCCCCAAGCTGGGGTTCTTGATACTTTGTACCATCCCAGCTCTGTCTGCCGAGTCCAGGAGTCCAGGAAGGGTCTGTGCCGAGTCCAGGGGGGTCCCCTCCAGAAGGGATTTCCGCACCTGTTGTTGTCCCACGCGGCGTGCTGCCTCCCAGGTCACACTCCAAGCGTGGGCACCAACAGGAGCACCGTGTGCGGCCCCAGCCGTTCCCCAGACCCGCCCAGGCTTTGGAGGGGCCCAAACCCAGGGCTGCCCTGCAGAGCCCACAGGAGCCAAGGACCCTGCAGAGTCTGGAAGGAGTCTGGAGAGACGGCCTGAGTGGCCTGGCGGGGGCAGGAGGGGCTGCTCTGGCGTCCGCGCCCTAGCCAGCCAGGTCCAGGGTGAGTGAGGCGGGTGGTGCTGCCCCATTGTCCGGTCGCGAGGGCCCTGGGCGCCTGTTTGGCTTGGTGGCTGCAGGCTGCAGGGAGCCCTGCTCTGGGGACCCAGACCAGGGGATCCATGCGGGAAGGCACGGCACACAGAGGTTCCATGGGCCGGAGGACCCCACAACTCCTGACGCTTAAGGAGAGCAGCGATGGCCACTGACGCCTCTGAAGGCAAGACAAGGGTGACCCGGGCTTCCATCCCCACGGGTGCCGCGGCCTCTGCCTTCCCTGAGCAGCTGCCAGGCTAGTGAGGCCTGGAGGAGCTCTGCGGGGACTGGACGCGCACCGCCCGGTCTCCTCGGGGGCGCACGGCGGGCCCCTCCAAACCGCGGCCAGCCCAGGTCCCGGAGCAGCGCGCTCTCAGCGTGGGCTCAGTGTGGGGCGCCCGGACCCCCTCCAGTGCCCAGGGAGCACCATCCCGGACCCCGGAGAGCGGGCCGCGCTGCCGCCCTGTGGCCGCGGCCGGAGGTGCGCCCCAGCAGAAGGACTGTGGGCGCACGAGGGACCCAGAGCACAGGGACACAGGACACAGGGGACCCAGAGCAGCCGGTGGGGGTGCCAGGAGGCCACATCAGGGCAGGCAAGGCCTTGGAGCACATGGCCAGCTAGACAGGCCTTGCACCCCGCAGCCATGGACGCTACTGGTCACCCTTGGGCTGGGTCTGCATGTGCCTTCTGTGTCGGTGGGCACCCTTCGTGCCACCTGCTGACCCCAGGGGCAAGAGCCACTGGCCGACGGCGGTGGAGTCCTATGCTTCCCCGGCCTGCCCTGGGTGTGGACGCAGCCCCAGGTGAGCAGGCTTCCCTAATGAGCAGGGCCGGGAGGTCAGGCTTCTCCCACGCAGACCCCAAGGTGAGCCCGAGGCAGGCTGTTGGGCCAGGCCCCTGCTGCCCCCTCAATCCCTGGGTTTCTCAGAGTGCCTCCTGTGATGGCTTCTGGACTGTTGGCGATACTGCGTGGGGCTGAGCCACCACCCCCACGTGGGCTGCGGGTCCAGCCTGGCTGCTCCACTTCCCATCCAGCCCCTACCAATGCCCCTGGGAGCAGCATAGGACAACCCAAGTTCCTGGACCCCTGCCCCTGCGTGAGAGGCCCGCATGGAGTTCCTGGCACCTGGCTGTGGCCTGGCCCAGCTCTGGCTGAGGTGGCCATCTGGGAGTGGACCAGTGAGTAGAAGATTCTTTCTTAAAATATATATATATGTATGTATAATATATATATTTTAAAACTTTTTATTGGAAAAGCAGATAATATAGGGAGGAGAGAAATTTGTTGATTCACTCCCCAAGAGGCTGCAACAGCCAGAGCTGAGCCGATTAGGAGCCAGGAGCTCTTCCGGGTCTCCCAAGCAGGTGCAGGGTCCCAAGGCTTTGGGCCGTCCTCACTGCTTTCCCAGGCCACAAGCAGGGAGCTGGATGGGAAGTGGAGCTGTCGGGATTAGAACCGGCGCCCATATGGGATCCCGGTGCGTTCAAGGTGAGGATTTAGCTGCTAGTCTACTTCACGGAGTCCATTCTCTAACAGACACACATTTTTAATCCAAGTTTCTGTGTCTTGGTACTGACTTTCCGTTATGTGGAAGGCAGATCTTTGCTCACCTTCCTTCCCAAATGCCTGTGGTGGCCAGGACAGGGCTCCACCCGGGTGCTTTGGGGTGCAGGGGCTCTGCCTACCAGGGTGCACACTGGCAGGGAACTGGGTGGGACTCAGAGCTCAGATCCAAACTCCACCCGTCCCCACAGATCCTCAGCCACACCTCGACTGGGGGGCCAACCCCACACCCCTGAGTAGCTCCCCGGTGACTGGACCAGGTCACACAGAAATGTTGCTCAGCTTTTACTATTTTTTAGTTTATATTTTCAAATCTATGTGCAGTTTCTCCAAGCATGCAGACGTAGGGTGGCTTCAGTGGCCTGGGCTGACACCACCACTGGGCACAGTGGTAAGGCCACTGACTCCCCCAGCTGGGTGCCAGGTCCACTCCTGTGGGACCCCCCCCCCGGGCTGTCCCAGCCCCTGCTACTGCTGGCGCTTGAGGAGTGCACCAGCAAACGACAGCTCACTTTCTCTTTTAATAAAGGGCCCTGAGCTTGGCCCAAGGCCAAGAGCAGCCATCAGGACCTTGGGCACCAGCCCCCAGGACGTTGGCTGGTATTCTATACAGCATGGTGCCAAGAGCATCTCAGTAGAGCCAGCAGTAACCACTCCCCTGGCCAACTGGCCACCTTAGCCCAGAAACCCTGTGTCCCTAGGGCGGCTGGGCAGCTTCCAGAAGGCCGGATGTGGCAGTGCCACCTTGGGGTCTGGGCGGGAGCCTGAGCAGGCACGTTCCCACTCAGCTCCTCTTGGCATCTTGGGGTGGAAAGACATGACGTCGCCACGTGAGCCAGGCAGGCACTGCCCAGGACGCTAGGCACATTTACTTGGAGGGATTCACTCCCAAATGTGTGGCCATGACAGCCAGGGCTGGGCCAGGCTGAAGCCAGGAGCTCCATCCAGGGCCCCCATGTGGGTACAGACTTGAGCCGTCCTCCACTGCCCTCCCTGGAATGCCAGCAGGGAGCTGGGTGGGAAGTGGGGCAGTTTAGCCCACTGTCCCGGGACGCCAGGACAGTGTTCAGCTGGTGGAGCCATCCTGTGGCTCTCAGGTACCAGGGACTGGCGGCATGGCCGGGTGGGCACCCTGTCCCGGTCCCATCGTGCTGCCAGGCAGTGGGTTTGAAAGCCTTGCCCAGGCATCCCTAGTGGAGCCTACGTTCATCCTGGGCTGGCACCTCACCCCACCCCAGTTCCCAGAACAACCCTGAATCTTCTCCTTCCGGATCTTGGGATGCTTGGGTCCTCTGCCCTCAAAATCCTGTCCACGGGCCCGGCGCGGTGGCGCAAGTGGTTAAGGTCCTCACCTTGCACGCCCAGGATCCCATATGGGCACCGGTTCTAATCCCGGCAGCCCCGCTTCCTTTCCAGCTCCCTGCTTGTGGCCTGGGAAAGCAGTGAGGACGGCCCAAGACTTTGGGACCCTGCACCCGCGTGGGAGACCTGGAAGAGGCTCCTGGCTTCGGATCGGCATAGCATTGGCCGTTGCGCTCACTTGGGGAGTGAATCATTGGACGGAAGATCTTCCTCTCTGTCTATCCGCCTTTCCGATAAAAAAAATAATAAAAATAAATCTTTAAAAAAAGTTAGTCCAACCCTCCATAGAGCACCGTGGCATGCAGACCCTAGCCCCCCGCCCACCCCCATGCGCGCACACACTGGATAAAGTAGCTGCGGCAGCAAGCCAGGGACTGGGCCACTTTATTGCTATGTGGTTCATGGGCCTCCGGCAACTCCGCCCACAGTAGCAGTCCTCGGTGGAAGGTTCTAGAAATAAATAGGCAGGAGGCCCCTGGCGGGGGTGGAAGAGGGCAGCAGTTGCAGGGAGGGCAAGCGGAGCCCCCATGTTCCCTTCCTGCTGGCCTTGGCCACCAGGGCATGTGCGGGAACGCAGAAAGTCACCACCTGCACCATGGGCCCCATTCCTGCGGGGCCAGCGGCGGCCACTGTGCGGCAGCACTGAGACGCCCGCCTCCAGGGCTCCCCACGGCCTTCCTGGGAGGTGAGGCTCACGGCCCTGCAGCTCTCCAGGGCAACGGCTCCAAGGGCCACAGGGGGCAGACGGCTGGTCACCAGTGAGCGGCCACCTTTCAATGGCAGTGAGGACTCAGCAGGGCATTCAGCAGCTGGCATGCTGCAGGCCCTGCCCTGTTACCACCTGGCTGGGGGCACCAGGTCGCCGTCCCCACTGCCTGAAGGAACTGGAGGGACTATGTCACTGCGCCTGGGCAGTGAGGCAGCTGTCCTCCTGGGGAACCGCAAAGGCTCAGAACTGATTCTCCTATGCACGCCAGGAAAACTCAGGGCTGGGGGCTCAGAACGGACCCCGCCCCTCAAGGCCTCCTTGGCTCCCAGGTGGAGCCAGCGGCCAAAGGTCACACAGCTCTGATTCTGCGCCCAACAGCAAATGTCCGCTGGCTCCTACTACAGGAGGTTCACCTTGGCCACCACCTGCTTGCAGCCAGTGATGGCGAACTCCCGACCAGCCACGCGGTAGTAGCTGAGCTGCGCTGCCAGGCGCTCGGCGTGGGACTGCTCGGGGAAGAAGCCCTCCCCGGCCAGCTCTTCCCGGAAACAGCTGACCACATCCTGCTTGTCCAGCAAAAGAAAAGGCACCACGGCCGCGGCCTGCCAGAGCGGGTGCTGGCGGGCTAGGAGCGCACGAAGGCGCGCCCGCAGCTCCTCGTCGGGGCGCGTGCGGGATGCGTTCTGCAGCACGGAACGCGTGACCTCGGCGCTGCCCGCACCACTCAGCAGCACGTAGACTGCGTTGTGGAAGTGGCGGGGCCGCTGCGGGTGCAGGAGGCTGTGCAGCTCGTCCAGCAGCGCCGGCGGCAGCCTCTCCACCTCATCCAATACCAGCAAAGGCGTCTTCTCCTCCGCCTCAGCCCGCGCCACCACCTGGGACACGAGGCGCGTCAGCTCGGCGCGGCAGTCCCCCGGGGCGCGCGGCGCCGGGCAGTGGTGCCGGGCATCGTACTGCAGCACCAGGCCGCCGTCGTCGTCGTCCAGCGCCGCGCGAAAGTGGCGCGCCAGCAGGCGGCCCACGTGACTCTTGCCCACGCCACTGGGCCCGTGCAGGGCCAGCAGCAGTGGGCGGCTGTGCACGTGCGTGGCCAGGTAGTCGCGCAGCAGCGCCACGATGCGCGCCACAGCGGCCGGCTGGCCGAACACGGAGCGCCGCAGCACCTTCTCCAGCCCGTCTAGGTCATAGCGCTGCGCATTGTCGTCCAGGTTCTCGATGGCGTTCAGCACCTGGAAGCCCACGATGGCTACAAGCAGCAGCAGGCAACGCTGCGCACGGCTGCGGCGCTCAGCGCGCGGCAGGTACTTGCGCGAAGTCTCCGGATACAGCACCACGCGGCTGCGACGGCGCCTCCGGCGCGACACCCTGACGGGAGGAGCGGCCGGGCTGTCGAACGTGAAGAACTGGGGCTGCTCCGGGCCGGCACGCGGGGTGCGGGGACCGCAGACCGGCCGGGGTGTGCCAGGCCCGGCGCTGGGCGGCTGGAGACGCCGCTTCCGCAGGACGCACACGCGGCGGCGCAGGCGGACCACGGCACGCACCGGTGCCATCATGCACTGGCCGGAGGCAAGGGGCGCTGCGGCCGCGGGCTCACTGCTGGGCTGACCTGCGTCCATGGTGCAGGAGCGGCGCTCGGCATGCAGGTCGCGCTCCCTGCGAGAGAAGACAGGGGAAGGCTCCTGCCCCCGCCGTCTGAAGCCCTCCCTCTTACCCCGGCCCCAGGGCCAACCTGGTGTGGGGCGAGGGGACCCTCTCTCGGTCCAGGCTAGGTCCCGGCCTCGCCCCACTGGCCAGGAAGCGCCGCCTCCTCCCTCCGGCCCCAATGCAAATCTCTCCCACAAGCGGCTGCGGGCCTGCAGGAAGTGAGGGGGGAGGGGGCGTACGGTTTATCTGCCGGCGGCAGCCTGGGCTTCCTGGAGGAGGTGTGGAGAGGGGTCTCCCCCCCGCAGCAGCGATGAGCCGGATGGCCCAGTGTGGAGAGGGGCAGGGTGGCCGCCCCCGAGGCCAGGGAGGAAGCCCTCCCTGGAGTTCGGGACGCCCCTTGCCACACACACACACACACACACACACGGGCTAGCCTGAACTTCAATTCTGGGGAATCCGGGCTTAGCCCAGCCCCCTGTCCAACCCACAGCGGGGTCGGCCAGCATCCCTCGGTGGATGCACTACAACGCAGAAGGCAGAGAAGCAGGCGCCGGCAGAGAGCCCCTGAGCAGGGACCCCAGTGTTCCCATACCTCCGGCCCCTCAGCTGCTTCCGCTCCGCTGCTCCGAGCCCCAGACCAGACGCTGCAGCCACCGGGGTGGGTCGGAGCCTCCGGGGCCAGCTCAGGCCGGGAGGGGGCAGCAGCACCTGAGTCCCCGGGGAGAGTGCAGCAGAGGAAGCGCTGGAGGTTTCCGCTCCAGGGCAGAGGAAGTGAGTCAGGGGGTGCGGCGGGGGCGGGACTTGGGCTGGCCGGAGGCACCCGAGGGGGAGGCCTGGGGCCCTGACCTACAGGAGCTGGGCAGCAGAGCCGCCTCGGTCCCATCCATGGCCTGCTCATCCGGGACCCTGGCCACCTGACCACCTGAGGGTCCTAGGGTTCCTAGCAGTCCCCGCAGCCTGAGAGCAAGCAGTGAACCCCATGCGTCCCCTCGCTGCCCAGGGTCAGTGCACACTGGCACAGGAGCCCCGTGTGTCCCCTCCCTGCCCAGGGTCAGTGCACACTGGCACAGGAGCCCCGTGCGTCCCCTCGCTGCCCAGGGTCACTGGCATAGCACACACCATGTGTCCCCTCGCTGCCCAGGGTCAAGTGTACACTGGCACAGGAGCCCCGTGCGTCCCCTAGTTGCCCAGGGTCACTGGTACAGGAGCCCCGTGTGTCCCCTCGCTGCCCAGGGTCAGTACACACTGGCACAGGAGCCCCGTGCGTCCCCTCGCTGCCCAGGGTCACTGGCACAGGAGCCCCGTGTGTCCCCTCGCTGCCCAGGGTCAGTGTACACTGGCACAGGAGCCCCGTGTGTCCCCTTTCCACCCTCCCCTGTGGCATTTAGGACCCTTGGGCCCAGGGCTGCTGGCCGCTGGCCCCTTTGTACGCCCCCACTTCTGGGTGACAGGTTCCCCAGTGTGCACCCTCACTGCCCGGCCAGGTGCTACAGCCCCTTCCTTGGCTTGGGGCTTCTGACAGCGGGAGGATCTGACCCCCCCAGCCCACTCCAAGCGTGGGCCAAGCAGGGGAAGGAGCTGTCCCTGTGTTGAGTGAGGAGGGACTGTGAAAAGGTCAAGACAGGGGTCAAGGCTAAGGACCCAGCACGCCCTGGTGACTTCAGCCCTGAACTTCCCACCACCTAGTGCCCTGCAGTGGACAAGGCCCTCCAGTCCCTAGCGTCATCCACACTCCCCAGGTGGCAGCCACAGGGGGCTGTCCATCCCCAGCTCCCGACCCCTCCCCAGGTGTCGCTGTCCTGCAGCGATGGACTTGGTGCATGGAGCCGATATTAACACGCGTGGACCCTGACTGATGGTCAAAGCCGAAGTTTATTAGTGGCCTCAGTTTATTAGGGACTCGCCTGCCGCAGCCTGAGAGACCAGGAGCCCCCACGAGGTGCAGGCCCAAGCCCACACTGCAGACCAAGGCCGGCCTCTGGGAAGCCACAGCGAGACTGGGCAGGCCTAGCAACAGGGAGCTTGTCTTGGCTCATCCCCAAGTGTCCACAGCCGAGCTGTCGGGAGCCGGGTCACCCACTTGGAGCAGGGGCGCAGGGACCTGGCCAGCCTCTGCTGCTTTCCCAGCGAAAAGGGAGCTGCATGAAGTGGTGCCCACAGGGGATGCTGGGTCACCAGTGAGCCAGCAGCAGGACACAACCCAGCCCTAAACATGGCCTCGTGCCACCCCCCACCCCAGGCTGTCACCAAGCACAGGGTCCTCACACCACCAGGTTTACCAAAACACCTTTATTTATACAAGCAGCAGCAGCTTACCAGACCCCCCCGGGCTGAGGCTGAGACCCCCTCCCCTGCTCAGCACCTGCTGAGACTCCACTGCCGCTCCTGCTGCGGCCTCAGTGAGGGGAGGGTGCTCCAGCCCGCCACCCCCCAGGAACAGGAAGTGCTCCAGCCCCCCCTCAGGGAACAGGAAGTGTTCCAGCCCCCACTCGGGGAACAGGAAGTGCTCCCAGCCCCTACCCTCTTAGGAGTACCCACAGGCCGGGCCAGGGAGGACCCAACCTCAGAGCGCAGTGGGGGCAGGCCCGTGGGGCAGGGGCAGCTCCAGGGCTGGCGTCTCCGGGGCCTGTGCGGGGCTGGTCTTGCGCTGGTCCAGCTGCTCCAGCTTCTCGCCAAGCTGCGAGTAGAGCTCCTTCACCGCCTCTCCACTCTGCAGGGAGCCAGGGTCAGCCCTGCACCCCGTACCTCATGTCTGCAGCCAGGGTCAGCCCTGCACCCCGTACCTCATGTCTGCAGCCAGGGTCAGCCTTGCACCCCGTACCCCATGTCTGCAGCCAGGGTCAGCCCCGCTCCCCCTGTCTGCACCCAGTGTCAGCCCCGTACCCCACGTCGGCAGCCAGGGTCAGCCCTGCACCCTGCACCCCCCTCTGTCTGCAGCCAGGGTCAGCCCTGCACCCTGCACCCTGCACCCCCCCTCTGTCTGCAGCCAGGGTCAGCCCCATACCCCACGTTGGCAGCCAGGGTCAGCCTTGCACCCTGTACCCCATGTCTGCAGCCAGGGCCAGCCCTGCACCCCGTACCCCATGTCTGCAGCCAGGGCCAGCCCTGCACCCTGTACCCCATGTCGGCAGCCAGGGTCAGCCCTGCACCCTGCACCCTGCACCCCCCCTCTGTCTGCAGCCAGGGCCAGCCCCATACCCCACGTCGGCAGCCAGGGTCAGCCTTGCACCCTGTACCCCATGTCGGCAGCCAGGGCCAGCCCTGCACCCTGTACCCCCCATCTGCAGCAGGGTCAGCGCTGCAGCCCCGTCTGGCACCCACCTGGCCTGTGGGCTCGAGGGCCTTCTGCAGGGCCTCGAGCTTGGCCGGAGCCACCCTGGGGTGCAGGTGCAGCAGCAGGCGCAGCACGTGCCGTTGTACATTCTCCCTCCTGGAAGGGAGGCCGGGAGGGCAGCAGACCCTGCACCCCCACCATGGGACCACCGCCCATGGAGCCTTCCCCACACACGGGGGCCGCCCCCCACACCCCAAGCGGGGTCCCAGCCCACCTGGGCGATGCCGTCAAAAGGAATCCATCAAAGAGACTGCTGCAGAAATCCTCCAGGGCAAACTCATCCGCCAGCAGCGCCAGGTTCCCCGTGAGCAGGTGCAGAAAGATGTCACTGAACGCCAAGTCCCCGAACGTGTCCACTGCAAGACCAGGGGCCATCAGCCACCCCAGCCCGAGGCCCCAGACAGGAATGAGACCCACCCCAGGCCTGGGGCCGTGAGCTGGGGCCCTAGCTGTCTGGGGCATGGTCACTGCCAGGTGACTGCCAGGTAACAGGTGTGAGGACTGCGCAGCGTCAGCCCTGAGCTCACTCATGGGCACCAGCAGCCCTGCCTGTGGCTGTGACCGCAGCCTGTGGTGACCCGCTACTCAAACCCACAGATCGCTCACCCACTGGCTCACACCCAGCAGTCCCAACCACCAGGCCAAAGCCGGAACCAGGCACCCCCTCCTGGGCACCCAGGGACGTGGAGACCCCAAGTCCTTGGCAGCCTTCTGCTGCCCCCCAGGCACCCCAGCAGGAAGCGGGATGTGGAGCAGCCGGGCCCAGCAGGTGCCCGCAGGGGAGATGGTCGTGGCAGCAGTGCCACCACACGGGCTCTCATTCTCAGGGCGTGGCCATGTCCCAGTCCCAGCTGCATGTGGTTCCAGTCCCGCCAGTGAGCTGACCAGCAGCAGCTGGTGCGTGCAGCCCCGCATGGCAGCTTGGCACTCGGTCAACCAGAGCATGGACAGACACGTCTGCCCATGATGGACGTGCATACTAACGTGACCCTCGGCCACCGCCCACACACGACTCACCCAGGCCGGGCAGCAGACGCAGCAGTGCGTTCTTGTTCCTCTGCTTTGTGATGTGCAGGACGTAGTAGAGCCCCACCTCGCAGGCCGTGCGCTGCTCCTGCAGAAACCTGCACCCACAGGCAATCAGCACCGCTGTGCCCCTGCCCAGCCCTGCCCCAGCGTGTGCCCAGCCCTGCCCAGCCCTGCCCCAGCGTGTACCCAGCCCTGCCCCAGCGTGTGCCCAGCCCTGCCCCAGCGTGTGCCCAGCCCTGCCCAGCCCTGCCCAGCCCTGCCCCAGTGTGTGCCCAGCCCTGCCCCAGCGTGTGCCCAGCCCTGCCCCAGCGTGTGCCCAGCCCTGCCCCAGCGTGTGCCCAGCCCTGCCCCAGCGTGTGCCCAGCCCTGCCCCAGTGTGTGCCCAGCCCTGCCCCAGTGTGTGCCCAGCCCTGCCCCAGTGTGTGCCCAGCCCTGCCCCAGCGTGTGCCCAGCCCTGCCCAAGCGTGTGCCCAGCCCTGCCCCAGTGTGTGCCCAGCCCTGCCCCAGTGTGTGCCCAGCCCTGCCCCAGTGTGTGCCCAGCCCTGCCCCAGCGTGTGCCCAGCCCTGCCCAGCCCTGCCCCAGCGTGTGCCCAGCCCTGCCCCAGCGTGTGCCCAGCCCTGCCCAGCCCTGCCCCAGCGTGTGCCCAGCCCTGCCCCAGCGTGTGCCCAGCCCTGCCCCAGCGTGTGCCCAGCCCTGCCCCAGTGTGTGCCCAGCCCTGCCCAAGCGTGTGCCCAGCCCTGCCCCAGCGTGTGCCCAGCCCTGCACCAGCATGTACCCAGCCCTGCCCCAGCGTGTACCCAGCCCTGCCCCAGTGTGTGCCCAGCCCTACCCAGCCCTGCCCCAGCGTGTACCCAGCCCTGCCCCAGCGTGTACCCAGCCCTGCCCCAGTGTGTGCCCAGCCCTACCCAGCCCTGCCCCAGTGTGTACCCAGCCCTGCCCCAGTGTGTGCCCAGCTCTACCCCCTGCCCAGCCCTGCCCCAGTGTGTACCCAGCCCTGCCCCAGCGTGTACCCAGCCCTGCCCCAGTGTGTGCCCAGCCCTACCCCCTGCCCAGCCCTGCCCCCAGTGTGTACCCAGCCCTGCCCCAGTGTGTGCCCAGCTCTACCCCCTGCCCAGCCCTGCCCCAGCGTGTACCCAGCCCTGCCCCAGTGTGTGCCCAGCCTTACCCCCTGCCCAGCCCTGCCCCCAGTATGTACACAGCCCTACCCCCTGCCCAGCCCAGCTCCCCCATCTGTACCCAGTCCTAACCCCCTCCCCCGCCCAACTCCCGCCGTACTTGGTGAAGCTGGCTGGCAGTGTGTTGGGGTAGGTGGCGGCGGCCTTCTCCTCGGCAGGGAGCTTCTGGTCCACGCTGAATGTGTGGTCATCCACCACCAAGGACATGAGCATGGGGAGGAAGCGGGTGACAAGCTCCGCCTCCTGCAACAGGGAGCCAGGGTCACGATGGGGACCTGGCACCCCCAGGAAAGGCGCTGCATTGGAAGGGGCCCCGAGACTGCACGGGTTCCTGCTCCCCACACAGGACCCGCCACGCCTGTTACCATCTTGGGCTCCTTGAAGACCTGGCTGTCGATCATGTCCCAGGCGCCCTGGCCCAGGGCCAGCAGGCGCAGCAGCAGGAGCAGGTCAGGACTGTCCTGCAGGAAGGGGGAGGCTGGGGCTGTGCTCACCTGGGCCTCCCCCGGACTCAGAGCGGCCCTGGGCAGGCTGGGCGGGGGCTCACCCTGGGCAGGGTCTCCTGACCCACTAGCTCCTGCAGGTGCCGGATGGTGCTGAGAGAGAGCGTGTTGATGGCGAAGGGGTCGCACAGGATCATGGATAAGTCCCTGGGGGAAGCCAGGTGCTGAGCTGGGGGGGTGGGCAGCCCCCTGCTGCACAGCCTCCCCCTCCCGCTGACATGGTGCTGCCCGACCAGTGCAGCCTCACCCCAGGACCTGCTCCTGGCCCTTCTTCACGCCGTCCAGGAAGCCCTGCAGTTCCCGCGCTCTCTTGCCGTCCACAAAGCGCTCGCGGATACAAGCATCCAGGCACCAGGTGAACTGCGGGCAGGAGTGTGTTGTGAGAACCACCCCCAGAGCAGCCCAGGAGCCTCTGAGACCCTGCGGGCCAGCCAGGAGCGCACTCTGAGATCCTGTGAGCACGCTCTGAGATCCTGCCGGCCGCGGAGGAGCACGCTCTGAGACCCCTGCCGGCCACCCGGGAGCGCACTCTGAGATCCGCGCGGGCCGCCTGGGGCCACAGCCAAGCCCTGGGGCTGAAGCCTGAACCGCAGGTTCAGAGTCGGACAGCTCAGATGGGTGCACCTGTGGACATGTCCTAGGACAAAGAACCACGCCAGAGGACGGGACAGCTTGGAGAACCCCACTCTGAGGATCGCTGCTTCACCAATGGGCCCTACTGGACTCGGGGCAGGGGACACTCAGTGCTGGGGGGACAGCAGACAGACCCACCTTGTGGCAGGGGTCCACGGTACAGATGTCACCCACGTCCAGGTCATGCAGTGACATGAGCAGCTCGGCACGCAGGGTGCAGTAGTGCACGTTGCGCGTGCGCAGGAACAGCGTGCGCAGGAACTGCAGCACCATGTCATACAGCTTCACGTTGCGCCCCACCATCTGCGTCAACTTCTGCACCACCTGCGGGGCCGCCCTGCCGTCAGCCCGGCCCGCCCCTCACCCCTGCACCCCTCACCCCTGCACCCCTCGTCCCTGTCAGCCCGGCCCGTCCCCACCCCTTCACCCCTCACCCCCGCGCCCCTCGTCCCGCCCCCGGGCCCCCACCTCGCCCTGCCGCCGCGCCTTGGGCGAGGGGCTGAAGAAGTTGTGCAGCACAGAGAGCCCCTCGCTGAAGAGCGCGCTCTCCTTCTCCAGGATGTACTGCTTCAGCAGAGGCGACACCTCGTCCCCAAAGAGCGCCTGGTTGTCCTGCCAGATCTGCCGCTTCACCTCCACGGCGCACGCGCGGTACAGCTCCTTGTCAGCCATCACGAGCTTCAGCTTCTTTTCGGGGACCTGCAGAGGTGCAGGTGGCTCAGGGCGTGAAGAGAGGGGTGCAGGTGGCTAAAGGCCCAGGGAGAGGGGTGTGGACTGGCCAGGGCGCGGAGGGGGTGCGGGCTGGCCCAGGGCGCGCAGAGAGGGGCACAGGCTGGCCCAGGGAGCGGAGGGGGCGCAGGCTGGTCCAGGGTGTGCAGAGAGGGGCGCAGGCTGGCCCAGGGCGTGCAGAGAGGGGCGCAGGCTGGCCCAGGGCGCGCAGAGAGGGGCGCAGGCTGGCCCAGGGAGCGGAGGGGGCGCAGGCTGGCCCAGGGTGTGCAGAGAGGGGCGCAGGCTGGCCCAGGGCGCGGAGGGGGTGCAGGCTGGTCCAGGGCGCGCAGAGAGGGGCGCAGGCTGGCCCAGGGGCGAGCGTGCCACAGCGGGGCAGGTGGGCGGCCGCCGACCCACCTTGGGCAGGTGCTTGAGGACGCACATCACGACTGGCTGCAGCGACGGCATCTTGACCAGCGAGAAGCTCTTCTCCAGCAGCTCCTCCAGCTTCCTGGACCTGGGGAAGCGCGCTCGTGGCTGCCGGCTCCGCGCCCCCCAGGCCCGCCCCCAGCCGGGCGCCCGCCCACCTCTCCTCCGCCTTGCCCTCCGACGCGATGGCCGACACGCGCTCCAGCAGCTTGTCCCGCAGCTCGTCGAACACCGACTGGTGGAACTCCAGCCGCGGGGTTCCGTGCAGGTCCAGGAAGGGCAACGCCGACTGCAGCGAGGGCAGCAGCACGCCGTTCTCCGTCTGCGGATGGCCAGTGGGGAGGGTCCTGGGGGTCAGCAGGGCCGGTCGGCGGGGGTGGTCAGCAGGGACAGCGGAGGTCGGGGGGCGAGCGGAGGAGGTCGGTGGAGCCAGCGGGGCCAGCAGGGATGGTCAGCGGGGCCAGTGGGTCCATCAGCGGGGCCGGTCGGTGGGGGCGGTCAGCGGGTCAGCGGCCCGGCCCCCCGCCCGCCCAGGCGCGCACCTGGAACTGCTCGATGGCCTTGAGCGGCTCGGTGCAGTTGGTCAGCGTCTCCTTGAGGTCCTCGCCATTGGCCACGCCCAGGTCCTGCAGCCCCGCGAACATGGCCGCGACCCCCGCGCGGCTCGGCGCCGCATCCCCGCCGCGCTCCCCCGGGCCGGGCCCGGCCGCCCGCTCCCCCGGGCCCCGCGGGCCGCCCGCGCCGCGCTCGCCCGCCGCCTCCAGCCTGCCAGCCCCGCGGCCTCCGCTCGGGGCCGCGCCACTTCCGCCCCGCCGCGGTCCGCCCGCCGACGCGTCCCGGGGAAACGCCGCCGCGGCCGCGCGCTGGTTCCTGGGAGCGCCGCGGAGTGCGAGCGCCGGCGCGCGAGGGGCGGAGCCGGGTGACGCGCACGCCGGCGACGAGGCCACGCCCCCTCCAGGAGGGCCGACGGGGCGGCCTGGGAGCCCTGGGCGACCTTTGACCCGCCCTGCCCCGGGCGCTCCCCGACCTGCCCGGGGGACCCCGGGTGTCTCCCCGCCCTGCCCGACCTGTCCAGGGGACCCTGAGTCTCTCCCCGACCTGTCCAGGGGACCCCCGATCTCTCCCCGCCCTGCCCGGCCTGTCCAGGGGACCCCCGGTCTCTCCCCGCCCTGCCCGGCCTGTCCAGGGGACCCCGGGTCTCTCCCGCCCTGCCCGACCTATCCAAGGGGACCCTGGTCTCTCCCGACCTGTCCAGGGGACCCCCGGTCTCTCCCCGCCCTGCCCGGCCTGTCCAGGGGACCCCGGGCGCCCCCCGCGCACAGCCACACCGCAGACTCGGGGACGTGGAGAGCGTCTGTAATGGGAAGAGCGGGCCTGGTCAGTGGGGGCCGTGGACAGAGGGCCTCGGCAGCCCCCGGCGCCCTAGAGCGCGCAGAATGGGCCGGTGTCGTGGCGCTTGGGTCTGCGCGCGCCCTGGATGAGCCCGCCGGGCGCAGGGCGGCAGCGCGAGTCGAGGCAGAGCTCCGCGCGGTAGGCCCCGGGGCCCGGGACGCCGGCTGCGGAGAGGAGGCAGTGCGCTCAGCCCCGACCCGGCCCGGTCCTGCGCCCCGACCCGGGCCCGCGCCTTACCGGGGCTGCCTCCCGGCGCCGAGGCGCGCGCGTTGCGCATGGAGAAGGCCGGCGAGCGCGGGCTTCGCAGGCGATCCCCAGGCAGGACGTCGTAGGTGCAGGGGCCTGGGCGCTTCTCTCCGCGAGCCCGCGCCAAGGCCTGGATGAGGGGCTGGGGCCCTGAGGGCGCTGCTCGGGCCTGGCCCTCGGGTGCCCTGGACACGGGCCGATGCGCCCAGGGGCTGCAGGCACGGGCCGCGGGCCCGCTCAGCGGCCGGTAGTCAGCGGGCGACGGCCACTGCGGGAGACAGGACAGGCCTGAGGTGCTGCCCTCCCCTGGCCCGAACCCCGCAGTCCCCCCCGCGGGCCGGCCCCACCTTCTTCTCCCGGTTGAAGTCCACCTTCTGCGTGAAGGGGCTCTCGCTGCTCAGCCACTCGGTCTGCCAGGCCCTGCGGCCGCCGCCCTCTGCGTGAAACAGGGGGCTTAGATAGCGGTCCGAGCAGGGGGGAGCCCCCTCCAACGGCTGGGGCAGCGCACCTGGGCCGGGATGCTTCTGTCCCAAGCTGTAGCACGGGTGCGGGGAGCTCTCCCGCACAAACACATCAGGTACCTCGTACTTGGCAGGCCCGGGGACTTCCAGGTCAGTGACGAGCGGGGGGCGTCGCTCCAGCACTGGTCACAAGAGGCAAGCTGGAATGGATCCTGGAGAGCAGGGGTCTTCCACCAGACCCCACCCCAGGCCCAGCAGAGCGGCCAGAGACCTGGGCTCACTTACACAGCTCCTTCAGGGCCCCCATGTTGGCCGGTGTGCACTCTGTGGGGACGTCCAGACCAGCTGGGACATCATGCCTGGGCAACGGCCATGCCTCCTCCCAAGCTGCCCCCAGCCACAGCAGGGCAGCCCCGGGCCTGCTGGGGACACAAGCACAGGCTGGCCACTGGGCCCCCAGGCCACCCGCCCACCTGACCTCTGCCTGCTGCCCTTGCAAGTTACTGGGGGGATTGAGACAGCTGCTGGCTCAAGGGCCCACGGGTCCAGTGTCTGCCTCCATTGATGTAGAAATTTGCCAGGAATTTCACTGCCTTCTGGTCAAAATTCATCTCCCAGTCTCTGGCTGGCTTCCTGCTGGCTGTTGTGGGGGTTCTGTGACCTCACAGCTGGAAGGGACCACCTCCACCCTGTTGCCAGGGACTCCTGGCGAGGGGGTGCCCGGGGTCCCCGTGGTATTCCGCCCCTGACTTGCCCCAGCCCCTTCCCTTCTGCAGACTGGGGGCTGAAGGAGAGGTGGCCAGGGTCCCTCCCCCAGGGCAGAAGGCCAGGACAGCCCCAGCTGAGACCCAGTCCAGGAGGAACAGTGAGGGCCACCCTCCCGCTGGGGACATGCCAGAGGTGTCCCATGGACTGGCACCAACACCTGGCAGGGCCTTCCCTGGGGACTGGCCAGCTGCCCTTCTAGCCAGGACATGGGATGTGCCACCTCCATTTGGGCGTGATGGACAGGCGTCCGTCTTGAGCTGTGCTCCCACCCACCGGGTGTGATGGACCTGGCTGATGTCACACGCTGCTCTAATGGCTGGCCCCAGGCTGTACCCTCAGCTCTGGACCTCCAGCTCTGGCCACAGTGTGCCCGACTCCTGCGTCACAGGCCTGTCCTGCCCGAGGCAGTCGGCAGCTCCCACACTGGAAACAGCAGAGCCTGGTCTGCAGTTTTCATGTAACCCTGGTGTTCACAGCTCAAATCCTGCAGACAGGTCCCCAAACCAACAAACCAATACAAGCCAGGATCTGCTTACAAGGGACTGAGCTCCCTCCCCTGGTACAGGGCCACCGTGGCCGCCCAGGTAGGACCTCTGCAGGTGGCCAGTAGGACACCTGAGCCCAGGCCTTGAGCTCAACAAAGCCGGGCCCTCACAAAGGTTGCTGGGCAACAGGACCCCTCCTGGGGAGAGTAAGAGGCCAACAGGGCCGGGAGAGTTGAGGACAATGACAGCTGCTCAGAAGCACAGCTTCTTCACTCCAGAACCCCACTATATCCCTGGGTAAGGGATGGGGGGGGCCATGGACACAACGACCCCTGGGCTGCACCCCCCCCGCTGGCCTTTGGCCCAGGACACCACCAGGTGGCCGGCGTGTCCGTCAAGAGCAGAGAACTGGGCCAGCGGAGCAGCTGGCCACAGCCAAGAAAGAGTAGTGCTTGGGGTAAAGAGCACAGCCGGGCGCCTGGGCAGGCAACGGGGCCAGGGGCCAGGTCGCAACACCTGCCGGCCCCCTCCAGCGGACTGCTCACATGCACCCCGGCCAGCCGCAGACCCCTAAGGGCCTCCGGCTGCAGTGCCGCCACTGTCCACGCCTGAATGCCCAGCACCCACGCCACCTGTGTGTGATGCAGTCTGTCCCGTGGCCACCAGCAACCTGATCTTTCTCCTGGAGTGTAACTGTCACTCGTACTCCTGGAGCCTGCCCAGCCGGCAGCAAGCCCTTGGACCTGGTGCCCCCGCACTCCCAGCCCCAGGAACCCGGCTGCCATGCGTTCCTGCCTCCCTCCTCTGCCCTCTCTCCCTGCAGGTATGCCGGCTTCTACCCGCAGCTGCGCTACCAGGTGGGAAACACCTACGGGCGCACAACGGCCCAGCTGCTCACGGACCCCAGCGTACGCAAGAGCCCCTGCTCCGTGCTGTCCCCCATCTCCAAGCCCAAGTTCATAGAGGACTTCAGCCAATCCAGCCATCCCCGGGTGCCCTGCAGGGACCTCACCGAACCCCACATCCCCCACTACACGGGTGAGGCGCCCCTGCCCCCCACCCCGTCCCTGCCCTGCGGCTGTCTCACACTGGCCATGTCTGCACAGGTGTCAAGCCCTACAAGAACTTTCAAGTCCTGGGCCGGCTCCTGCCACAGGAGGTGGGCGGCCCGTGTCCACCCCGGGCCGACAATGTGGCCACGCAGGTGCAGCTGCCGGCTGGCTGCATGCCCTACTTCCCCTACCCACCGTGCCCACCAGGGAAGAAGGTGGACGCCAGGGCCTGGGGACACCCGGGCCTGCAGCTGGCATATGGACAAGAAGCATGGAAGAGCCAGGACCCAGTTCCAGAAACCCCAGGGCAGTACCAGGTACCCAGACCCTTCCCCCAGCTGAGCCCGGCCCACCCCCCAAACCAGCCCGGCCAGGACTGAGGGGCTGATGGGCCCCCCCACCCCACAGCTATACCACTGCAGGAGGGACGAGGGCCTGCTGCAGCCCCGGGGCAGGCAGGAAACACTTGACGTGGGCAGGTTCCAGCAGCTGCCCCAGCTGGACCACCCGAATCTCATCCAACGCAAGGCCATCTCAGGTGTGTAAGGAAGGGACACGCGACCCCCGCCTGCCCCTGGAGCCCCACCTGGGTTGGCCCAGCTGGAACCAACCCTCGCCCTCCCAGGCTACGCTGGCTTTGTGCCCCGCTTCGCCTGGGTCATGGGCATGAACTACCGGGACGCAGTCACGCAGGCCCTGGACGAGTTCGACAAGACCCAGGTACGGTGGGGCTGGGGAGGGGGCTCAGCCAGCGCCCAGGCACCCCCACCCGTCCATGCGGCTGGCCGTCTCGCAGCCGCACCCCGGTCCCCCAGTTCCTCTTCAGGAACCCCGAGTGCGCCCTGGGTGAGCGGCTGCCCAGCCCCCACTGGCCCAGCGGCAGCATCTACAGCAGCCAAGGCATGACCCCCTTCTACATGGGCTTCATTCCCTGTGAGTAGAGGCGGGGGGCCGGGCCTGGGCTGCCTGCCGCCCCTCTGCCCGGCTCAGCCGCCCCCCTCCCGCAGCCATGCAGGACAACTTCGCGCTGACCTTCGGCAACAGCACCCGCCGCGCCTACCGCAAGTGGAGAGGCGGAGCCACACACCGGGAAAAGCTTTAATGGTGCTTCTGTACAGCGGGGCCAATAAAGAGTTCCCCCCGCGGCCCCTAGGCCACCTCCTCCTCGGCCTCCTCCTCGAACTCGCCCTCCTCCTCGGCCGTGGCGTCCTGGTACTGCTGGTACTCGGACACCAGGTCGTTCATGTTGCTCTCGGCCTCGGTGAACTCCATCTCGTCCATGCCCTCGCCCGTGTACCAGTGCAGGAAGGCCTTGCGCCGGAACATGGCCGTGAACTGCTCCGAGATGCGCTTGAACAGCTCCTGGATGGCCGTGCTGTTGCCGATGAAGGTGGCCGACATCTTGAGCCCCCGCGGCGGGATGTCGCACACGGCCGTCTTGACGTTGTTGGGGATCCACTCCACGAAGTAGCTGCTGTTCTTGTTCTGCACGTTCAGCATCTGCTCGTCCACCTCCTTCATGGACATGCGGCCGCGGAAGACGGCGGCCACGGTCAGGTAGCGGCCGTGGCGCGGGTCGCAGGCGGCCATCATGTTCTTGGCGTCGAACATCTGCTGGGTGAGCTCGGGCACGGTCAGCGCGCGGTACTGCTGGCTGCCCCGGCTGGTGAGGGGCGCGAAGCCCGGCATGAAGAAGTGCAGGCGCGGGAAGGGCACCATGTTCACGGCCAGCTTGCGCAGGTCGGCGTTGAGCTGGCCGGGGAAGCGCAGGCAGGTGGTGACCCCGCTCATGGTGGCCGACACCAGGTGGTTGAGGTCGCCGTAGGTGGGCGTGGTGAGCTTGAGCGTGCGGAAGCAGATGTCATACAGGGCCTCGTTGTCGATGCAGTAGGTCTCGTCCGTGTTCTCCACCAGCTGGTGCACGGACAGCGTGGCGTTGTAGGGCTCCACCACCGTGTCCGACACCTTGGGCGAGGGCACCACGCTGAAGGTGTTCATGATGCGGTCGGGGTACTCCTCGCGGATCTTGCTGATGAGCAGGGTGCCCATGCCCGAGCCCGTGCCGCCGCCCAGCGAGTGGGTCAGCTGGAAGCCCTGCAGGCAGTCGCAGCTCTCGGCCTCCTTGCGCACCACGTCCAGGACCGAGTCCACCAGCTCGGCGCCCTCCGTGTAGTGGCCCTTGGCCCAGTTGTTCCCGGCCCCGCTCTGACCTGGGAGGGAACAGCGCGTCAGCCCCGGGCCGCCCCACCCCGCCCCGCCGCCTCCCCAAGCCGCTTAGCGCGGCCGTGACCTTGGGCTCACCGAACACGAAGTTGTCAGGTCGGAAGATCTGCCCGAAGGGCCCCGAGCGCACGGAGTCCATGGTGCCGGGCTCCAGGTCCACGAGCACGGCGCGGGGCACGTACTTGCCGCCTGCGGAGGGGAGCGGGGCGCGTGAGGCGGGCGCGCGGGGCGCGGGGCGCACGGGGGCGCGGGGCGGCACTCACCGGTGGCCTCGTTGTAGTACACGTTGATGCGCTCCAGCTGCAGGTCGCTGTCCCCGTGGTAGGTGCCCGTGGGGTCGATGCCATGCTCGTCGCTGATCACCTCCCAGAACTGCAGGGCGGGCGCGCGGCTGAGTCACGGGGCGGCCCCGCCCCGGATGGGCGCGGTGCGCGGCGGCCTCCCCCGCCGGGCCGGGCCGGGCCTCGGGCCTCGGGCCCCGCCGTGCGCTCCGTGGGCCCCGCCGTGCGCTCCGTGGGCCCCGCCGTGCGCTCCGTGGGCCCCGCCGTGCGCCCCGGCCGCTCGGCCCGCGCCCCGGCCGCTCCGCTCCGCCCGCCGCCATGCTCCCTGCCCGCCCGCCCGCCCGCCCGGACCCCCGCGCCCCGGCCGCCGCGCCCGCACGCCCGCACGCCCCGCACCTTGGCGCCGATCTGGTTGCCGCACTGCCCGGCCTGCAGGTGCACGATCTCCCTCATGGCGGCGGTGGCGGCGACAGCGGAAGGACCGAGAAGAGCGCGGAAGAGCGGGCGCGCAGAGTGCTACAACCGACGCTCCGCCGACGTTTATAAACCCGCTGCGCCCGCCTCCGCCGGCCTCAGATTGGGCTGCCGGAACGAGGCTGGGGCGCGGCCTCATCTGTATGGCTGAATCCCTGCCAATCGACCTGCCTAAGGCCCGCCTTTCCAACGACCTTCGCTGCTTATTGGTCAGCCCAGTGCTCTTATTTTCCTATCACAACCCGTCCCGCCTCCCGCCACAGCGCTTCGTCCATTGGTTGTTTCAAATGATTGATTTGCGCCCTGATTGGCTGGCTCCCTGGAGCGCGCCCACGAGCTGCCGCTATTGGCTGCCCGGCGTCCGCGTCCTGGTAACCGCCGCAGTGCCGCGGGAGACGCGCGCGGGCGGGCGCGGGCTTCCGGCGGGGCGCAGGGGCCAGCGGGCGGCGCTGGGGGAGGCGAGCCTGGCGCGGGCGGGGTGCAGGGGCCAGGATGCGTGCTGCAGGGCGGCCCTCCCGGGGTCCCTCACAGAGAGGGGGTGCAGGGCGGGCCTACCGGGTCCCTCACGGTGCAGGGGTGCAGGGCGGGCCGACCCGGGGTCTCTCGCGGTATGGGGTGCAGGGCGGGCCGACCCGGGGTCCCTCACAGAGAGGGGGTGCAGGGCGGGCTGAGCTGGGGTCCCTCGCGGTGTGCGGTGCAGGGCGGGCTGACCCGGGTCCCTCACAGAGAGGGGGTACAGGGCAGGCCGACCCGGGGTCTCTCGCGGTATGGGGTGCAGGGCGGGCCGACCCGGGTCCCTCACAGAGAGGGGGTACAGGGCAGGCCGACCCGGGGTCTCTCGCGGTATGGGGTGCAGGGCGGGCCGACCCGGGGTCCCTCACAGAAGGGGGTGCAGGGCGGGCCGACCGGGGTCCCTCACAGAAGGGGGTGCAGGGCGGGCTGAGCTGGGGTCTCACCGCCCCCTCAGCCGCCCGTGTTGTGGAGACGGTCACCTTGGTCACCCTGGCGACGCCGTGTGTTCTCACGGGGCCGGGCTCGGCTTGTGTTGGAAACGCGGGCGCGCCAGGCACCCCCAGAGGCGCGGGGCGGGACTGGGGCCGGGGGCGCGGGGCGGGACTGGGGCCGGGGGCGTCTAGCGAGCCGGGGGTCGCGCCTGGGGCGGGTGAGTCAGCAGGGGGGGAGGCTGGCCCGCGCGTCCCCGGGGTGCAGGGGTGCAGCCGCAGAGCCTGCTCAGGTGCCCCCGCCCCGGGGAACCGGCCAGCACCCCCGCCCTCCCCACCCTGCAGGTAACAAAACGCCACCGCGGCACTTGTGCCTTCCTCACCTCCGGGCGCGGTGCACGCTGGCCCGGCTGGGCCTCCCCGGGACACCCCAGCAGGTGCCCAGCCCCCCAGGATGCAGACAGACGCAAGGGGGAGGGAGCGTCCGTGGGGAAGGCCGGGTCCCCGCGGGAGGATGCGTTACTGCAGCCCGGGGCAGCAGCCAGACGGTCCTTAAAGGACCTTGTGGTCAGCCTTTGTGGGGGACCTCACCTGCCCCGGAAGGAGAGGTCCCCAGGGGCCTCCCCACCCGCTCCATCTCTCTGGAGAGCAGCACGGGCCACAGGGAGGAGGCAGGGGCGTGAGAGGCCCCCGGCCGTGCCACAGTGAGCAGGTGGACAGGACACTTGAGTCCTTTCCCAGGGCGGGGCTGGGCCAGAGGCCCCTGCACTTCCCCGGCGTCCAGTTCCCCCTGGCCGCAGAGGCTTTCCGGAGTGGAAACCAGACACGGTGCCCCCAGAGGAGGGGCGTCTGCCTGCCCGGACAGGCTTGGCCCGCTGGGGCCTGAGCAGGTCGGGCCGGGGACCGCTTCCCAGACAGGGTGCCTGCCAGGCCAGCGCACAGCATGGGGGGCGCCCCCTGAGGCAGCATAGGTTGACCTGCCTAGGGGACCCGACCCTGCGCCCCTTTCCCAGCCTGGCCAGGAGGGTCCCTTATCACACCAAGCACTTGTAGGCATTGACACCCCGCCTAAGGGGCATAGGGGCCTGAGTGTGCTAGCAGTGGCTGCACCCTACCTGTCCCCCTCAACAGAACACAGAGCCCCCACCCACAGGCAATAAAGACCACTGCACCTGAGCCCCATCTCGTTTATTTGTAGTCATTCATAAGCCCACTGCTGGGGACAGTAGAATGCACCCCACAACCAGGGAAATTCTCCAGGTGGTCCCAGGGATCCAAAGAACAGCCAGAGGGACAGCCAGGCCCAGGACCTCAGGTGGCCAAGCAGTGTGGGCGGTGACGCTGACCAGCTGACCAGAGGCCCCACCAGGAGAGCTCAAAGGCAGCTGGGGCAGCAGGTGGCCAGGCCTCCAAAGCCCTTGGCCAGTGGCACTTCACACCACAGCAGCACACCCTCCAGGTTGAGTAAGTAGATCAGCCCCCCTGGCAGGTGGGACAGCGGAGTCGGGTCGTGGCGGGGGGGCAGTGCCCACACTGAGGGTCCCCCACGGACAGGCATGGGCCAAGGGGCTGCCCTCAGCTGCACAGGCCAGCAGCATGTTGACCGGGCTGGCCAGTACCACTACCAGGGGGCGTGTTCATGGCGCCCTTGAAGAACCAGCAGGGGCAGAGTCACCCAGGACCCCATGAGCAAGGAGCCCTGCCTGGGCCCTACCCCGTGCCCAACACCTATGGTGAAGGGTGAAGCCACTGGTGCCTTGAAGCAGGATGGCCAGGTTGCAGCTGAACCCCAAGACGGGGCTGGGTCAGGGCCGAGCACCCAACCATGCCTCGGCCTCCCACCCCCGCACCTGCATTGAGGATGGGCTGCACCACCTGGGCCACGCAGCCCTGTAGCAGGAGCTGGTGTAGCATTGCAGAGGGAGTCAGCCAGCAGAATGCCGCCCACCACCAGGGAGAACGCCATGCCTGGGGAAGTGGGCACCTGTCCCAGGTCAGGGTGGGGGCTCAGAGGGCACCTGTCCCAGGTCAGGGTGGGGGCTCAGAGGGCACCTGTTCCAGGTCAGGGGTAGGGGCTCAGAGGGCACCTGTCCCAGGTCAGGCTGGGGCTCAAAGGGCACCTGTCCCAGGTCAGGGGTAGGGGCTCAGAGGGCACCTGTCCCAGGTCAGGGTGGGGCTCAAAGGGCACCTGTTCCAGGTCAGGGGTGGGGGCTCAGAGGGCACCTGTCCCAGGTCAGGGTGGGGGCTCAGAGGGCACCTGTCCCAGGTCAGGGGTAGGGGCTCAGAGGGCACCTGTCCCTGGTGGGGGTAGGGGCTCAGAGGGCACCTGTTCTAGGTCGGGTGAGGGCTCAGAGGGCACCTATCCCAGGTCAGAATGGGGGGCTCAGAGGACACCTGTCCCTGGTGGGGGTAGGGGCTCAGAGGTCACCTGTCCCAGGTCAGGATGGGGGCTCAAAGGGCACCTGTCCCAGGTCAAGGGTAGGGGCTCAGAGGACACCTGTCGCACCCAGGTCAGGGGTAGGGGCTCAGAGGGTACCTGTCCTTGGTCGGGTGAGGGCTCAGAGGGCACCTATCCCAGGTCAGAGGTGGGGGGGCTCAGAGGGCACCTGTCGCACCCAGGTCAGGGGTAGGGGCTCAGAGGGCACCTGTCCCTGGTGGGTAGGGGCTCAGAGGGCACCTGTCCCAGGTCAGAATAGGAGGCTCAGAGGGCACCTGTCCCTGATGGGTAGGGGCTCAGAGGGCACCTGTCCCAGGTCAGGGTGAGGGCTCAGAGGGCACTTGTCCCGGGGGGGGGGTGGTGGCTCACAGACACCTGTCCCAGGTCAGGGGTAGGAACAACTCCACACTCCTGGTCATTTCTCTCCATCTAGGGGAGGGGGAGCAGGGAGGACTCAGAATGGGTTTCTGTGGGCAGCTGGGGGTCAGAGGTCAGAGCCATCCCACCATTTCCCTGCTGTGGCTGCAATACCACTTAACGAGGCTGCTGTGTGTCACCCCACCTGTGAGTGTCAGAGGGGTCATGACCCATGGATGTCCCCTGGGGCCCCACCTGGCCTCAGGTCCCTCAGGGTCTCCCTGTCCACCCGCCCTTGTCCGCTCTCTCCTGCCCAGTCCAGGGCAGCCTCGTCACCTCCCCTCGTCACCAGGTGTGTAATCAGGCTGGTGAGCACCTTGAGGAGGCTGCTGGTGCCTGGGCCAGCGCGCTAAGCCGCGGCAGGACGGCCATGACTGTCCAACGGCAGCAGGACCAACAGGGTGAGCCAGTTGAAGATGCCATGGATGGCTGACTGCCGAAGGCCCTGCAGCCAAGGCAAAGCGGACTGACTGAGCCGGCCCTCCACTCACCTCTGAAACTCACCCTAGTCCCCAGCCTGCGTGCTGGGGTCAGTGGTGCCTACACTAATGTCCATGATGATGGGCACAGATGCCCACACTGCCCGCCATCTGGCAAGGCATCAGCTGCCTGGACTCCCAGCCCATTCCGCAGCCTCACCTACCGACCACCCACCCAGCCAGGAGGCCACTGCTGACCATGATGGCAGCATTGCTTCACATTGTCCTTGAGGACATCTGCCGCCACTCTGCCTGCATGTGCCAGAGGTCGGGACACGGTGGGGGTGCAAAGGGCTGACCACCTGGCTGCCCACCGCTCACTGCCTAGCAGCTGGGAGGCGGAGCTGAGAGTGTCCAGCGAGCAGATGAAGGGGCTGAGCTGCCCAGCAGCCCATGGGCCTTGAGGAAGCTGCTGGCTGTGCCCAGCTCTGCAAGCACAGGGTCGTGCTGCCCATGACCCCTGGCCAGCCTCACAGGGCAGGGCCCACCCCCAGAATGGGGCGGGCAGCAGCAAGCCCTGGGGGTCTGACCTGCCCACCCACTGCCCCTGATGTACCTTCCCAGAACTGGCCAGTGTCCTCCAGCTGAGCCAGTCCCCTGCTCTTCCAAGATGAGGCCAGAGCTGGAGGTCCCTGCAAGGCCGGGCTCGGGTGATGGAGGCAGGATGGAGCCCCTGAGCCCAGCCCAGGGCGTTAGGAGGTGGGGTGGGGCGGGAGGCGTTGGGGAGTTAGCGCACCTGCGTTTCCCAGGCTTTGGTCAGCCAGGTCGGCCCTGCCCAGGGCAGGCTGCTGGCAGTGAGAGACGTTGGGTCTCAGGATGGACACTGCTCTGCTGCCAAGCAGCCCGAGGTCAGGGCCGAGCCCTGGGGCCTCAGGACCTGTGATCTCGGCCACTGCTGTCCCACCCAGCCCCTGTTGGCCCGGGGGACTCTCCTCTGTCCACCAGGGTCTGACCGCCGTGGTCTAGGCTGTCATCAGGTAGGCCTGGGGCCGCCTGGGCTGTGTCTAAGGGACAGCACAGAGCGTCCCTGGCTGCTGGCTGGAAGGCAGCCTTGAGGACCTGAGAGATGTTACCATCGTCCCGCCCAGTGTGGACATTGACATCCTGCTCCAGCTCGACAGCAGCTCCATTCCCAGGGACTTCTGCTGCCCCTGTCTGTGCTCAGGCCACACACAACAGCCCCAAGCCCCAGCCCTGGCCTGCACGTCCCTGGATCGGCCTTCTTACCTGTGCAGGTGGTCAGGCCTGCGGGAGAACATGCTGAGCCGGGCCTCGTCAATGCTTACCCAGGAACTGGGATCCCCACGAGATTCCCTGCCTGGACCCTGCACCCCAAGCGCCCAGCACCTCCTCCTGGAGCAGGGCTTCTCCTGGGGACGGGCAGGGGTCATGTGATGTGGAAGTGGACATGTGTGAGGAGGTGGCTGTGAACCCAGTGGGCCTGCCATACGAACCCAGGGTGGGATGCTGAGGTCCAGCTTGTGGTGGCCCCTGCCCCCACAGGAGTGCCAGGCACCAGGTGGCCCCGGCCAGCACCCAGCACCAAGGGCACCAAGTCCAGAGCCCAGTTCTGTGGAAGGCAGTCCAGGGCCTGCGGGATGAAGGATGGCAGAGCGCCCCATGATCTGGCCTCTACACTGTCAGCCCCTCACGGGGCACAGAGGGACTTTGGCCCAGCTGGGAAGGATCCTGGGTGCCTGCTCAGCGAATTCCCCAGCCCAGGTGTCTGTGGAGCCCCCAGTCACGCCTCCTTCTAGAGCTGGCTTGGGGCTTCAGCACCCCTTCTGGCTACACAAAGTGTATGAAGGTGGCTAGCGGGCAGGGTGGGGGGGCCTGGCTGGCCCCCTGTGGGTCTCAGCAGGTCCTGCCCACAGCCCTCCTGGCCTGGGACCGCATCTGTCCTCAGAGTCAAGCTCAAGTTGCAGGCCACAAGATGGCCGTGTCCCCCAGACCACACGCAGGCCAGCTGAGGTCCAAGGCTCTGGATGGGGCAGGAGGAGGTTCTCGGGAGACCTTGAGGCTGCAGCCCAGAGGGGTGGCCTCGGCTCAGGCCTGGGTGTCGCCCCGGGGATCCCAGTGACAGCAAGGGGACTGGGGAATCCCAGGTCAGGGGGCCGGGCCTGCTTGGCTGCTGAGTGACAGCCATCATCAGGTGTTTGAGGGGCGCGGGGGGCTGCTTGGCCCGGATGGCCAAGAAGGTGGCCAGGTCTAGGTCCAGCATGGCCACCCCGCCGCGGGGCGGGGGGTTGCTCTGGCGGCACTGGGGGCAGGTGATCCGGTGCTGCTCCAGGGCGGGCACGTGCAGCCGCAGCACGCAAGCCTGAAAGAAGGTGTGGCCGCAGTGCAGGCGCCCCAGAGGTCGAAGGCAGAGTAGCAAACGACGCACTCGTTCCGGGGGGCTGCCCGCTCCTCCCCAGCTTGGGGGCCCTCGGGCTGCAGCATCTGGGAGGACGGAGAGCAGCTGGGCAGCTGCCTACCCGGAGGTGGCCTGAGGGGTCTGCGAGCCAGGCCAGACTTACCTGTGTACGCTCCAGTGGCCCAAGGTGACTCGGGAGGGATGGGCTGCCTCCTGGGCTCGCATTACCAGCGGCACCTGGAGGCAGGCAGAGGGGGCTCCCCTTTCAGGCACAAAGCAGTTGCAACTGGATCTAAGGGCTCAGGCTCCTGCCTTGGACAATGAGGCCCCTCTGCTGCCCAGCCCCTGCCCAGGCCGGCCCCTGTCAGCACTCTTCTGCCGTGGCCTGGTTGGTGCCCCCTCTTCGGCCCCCAGAGCCCACATTGCCGCCTTCAGGAAGCTGCCGTGCCCACTTGAGGGCCTCTGCCCCCACCCGGCTGGGCACAGCAGCCCTGCCCCACCTCCACCCTGGACGGCCCTACCTTGCACTGCATCTCCACACCACACCGCCTGACACCTGCTGGCAAAGCCCCACCAGGGGGCACCCCAGAGCAGGGGGGGCGACAACTCCCAGTCCTGCTGGGGCCAGGAGGGCCCACCTGGGCGGGGACCCACCCCTGGGGCAGTCTCAGAACTGGTCGGACAGGTTCCTGGGCCGGCCTGGGTGGGGTCATCCCAGTCCCCAGGGGCTGAGGACAGAGCCAGGTCTCTGTGGGCTGCAAGGGGCCATGACTTGTGGCCCCACACCCAGGTCCTGCCTGGCCGCCCTGTTTATCCTGTGGGGCTGGCCTGGCCTCCACATGAGAGTGCGTCTGGCCAGCCCTGCCCCGGAAACCCAGGCATTCCGGGGTGCTGGCCGCTCACTTCCCACTCTGGCATCTGGAGAGGTGGGTTCCACCAAGCTCCCTCAGCCCCTGCCCTCCAGAGCCTGCTCCAGGCCACTTCCTCCAGGAGCCCAGCCCCTGGTGGGGAACAGGGGGACACGGGTCAGCCGGCCGCAAGGCCCAGAGTGCACAGGAATGAGACATTTCACGGGAAACCGGAAAAACATCCCTGCTGACACGGGGCTCGGAGGTGGGTGACTCACGGGCGGCCTGGGCTTTGCCGCCTCGAAACCCAGCCAGCCCCAGCCCCACCTGCCGCCCCAGCCTCCTCACCCATGGGCTCGGCCCTGAGACCACACAGATGGGTGGCAGCCCCCTCTGCCCCCAGAATGCTCCGGAGGCGGGAAGGCTGGGGGCAGGGCGCCATGCTGTAATGCACCCAGCCCCACCCAGAGAGGCCAGCCACAGCACAGGAGGCGGCGGAGGGCCATGGGCGCCCTGCTTTATTTCCAGCCTTGGACAGAGGTGGATGGCGTGCGGTCAGGGCCGAGGACCGGCGCTAGGAGACCACGCAGCAGCTGTGGCAGCGGCAGAAACGAGGGCAGTGGCAGCAGGAGCAGCAGGGGCAGCAGCAGCAGTGGTGGGCGATGTCGTCCCCTCGGCCCACGGGCGGCCGGCCAGCGTAGGTCAGTCCCTCCGGCCGCTGCCCACAGCCGTATGGGTTGCTGGGCTGTCCCCACGCCTGCTGCCCGGAGCCGGCCCCCTTGGTTTCCGTGGGCTGCGGGCCCGGACCCCCGGGCAGGGGCTGTGCCTCTGAGGTGGAGCTGGCACCCAGAGTGGCCTGGCTCGCTGGCCCCAGGTCCGGTCGCAGGTGGGCTCTCGGGATGCTGATGTGCGTGTAGGGGTTCTTCACCACCATCTCGTGGGGGTCCATAGCCTGGCCTGCAGGGGAGGACGGAGACACAGGACCTCAGGGGAAGGGAGGGCCGCCTGCTGCCCCCCACCCACCGCCTTACCCCGAGCCCCCGAGGCGGTGGGAACTCAGCACTGGCACTCACCTGCCGGCGGTGTGGCCGCGTCCTGAGTGCTCGGGCTCCTGGCCGTGGCCACTGCCGGGGAGCGCAGGGCAGCCGCCTTTACCTGCGGGGGGCGGGGCCCCAGGAGGGGGATCCCCAGGTCCTCGGGTCAGGGCAACACGGGGTGACTCAGCCCTGCGGCATCTGGGGCATGCCCCGGGCCGTCCAGAGGGACACGTGTGGTCAGGCCTCACGGCCACGGTGCGCGGTCACCCTGACCCGGCTGCACCCCCACAGCACCCCGCAGCACCCCCGCTGCACCCTGCTGCACCCCTGCTGCATCCCGCTGCACCCCGCTGCATGCCCGCTGCACCCCGCTGCACCCCACAGCTCCGCTGGGGAACCCTCGCTGCACCCCGCTGCACCCCCGCTGCACCCCGTTGCAGCCCCGGGGCTGTGGGCGCGCGACCCCGTGAGCGGTCACCGGGGAGCGTCCAGCCCGGCGCCACGAGCCCCCTCCAGCCCCTAGGACACGCCCACTGGAGGCGACCCCGCCCACTAGGACACGCCCACGGGAGGCGGGGCCCAAGGCAGGCACGCGCGAGGAGCCCCGCCTCTGGCGTTACGTGTCCCGCTCCTTAGAGGCCGGATCCTGCATGACGCAAGCACGCGCGGGGGCGCGCCGCCGCGGGCGGGGGCGCAGAGGATCTTTGCTTCCCAGGAGCCTCCGCGCTCTAGGGCTTCCCGAAGACCCGGCTGGGGGCGGCGAAGCCAAAGGGAGCCGCGCACAGGGCGGGGCCTGGAGCCGGGGGCGGGGCTGGTGCTGACGGGCGGGGCCTGGAGTCGGGAGGCGGGGCTGGCTCCGGGGCGGGGCTTGCACCGAGGGGCGGGGCGGGCCTGCCACAGGGGCGGGGCCTGCCTCAGGGGGCGGGGCCTGCCTGGGCTCCCGCCGCCCCTCTCACCTGCGAGCTCCGGGGTCGCCGGCCAGGGCGGACCCTGCGGCCGGACCCTGCGCGCGCGCTGCCTGCGCGGCCGGCTGGTCCCCGAGCCCTGGCCGCCCCTCGCCCAGGGCGCCCCGCAGTGATCCCCGGGGTGCGGGCGGCCGCAGGCCGGCGGGGATCAGCCTCCCCGGGGCCCAGGGCCGGCACAGCCCGCGCGCCCAGGCTCGCGCTCCCCGCCCGCAGGCTCCGGCGCGGCCCCCGCCGCCCAGGGTCGTGCCCGGGCGCGCTCCGGGTGCGCTGCGGGCGCCGAGGGGCCGCGGGAGCCGGCCCCGCCCCGCGGACCCCGCGCGGGCCCAGGACGGCGTGGGGGGCGGCGCTGCGGGCGCGCGGCGCGCACTGCGGTCCCCGCGCCTCCGCCGCAGAGCGCGCCCCACTCCGCACGCACCTGCCGCCGCGCCCGCGCCCCGGAGCCGCCGCGCCATCGCCCCAGGTCGCCGCGCCCGGGCCTGCCTTGGAGAGCTCCCCGCGCGCGCCCCGCGGACGCCAGGCTGGGGCAGGTGAGCGGGGTCGGGGCAGGGGCAGGGGGCCTGCCTGTCGGGCGACGCTCACTCGGTCTCTCGCCCGCAGCTGCAGCTCGGGCCTGGTGCAGGCCTGTCCTCCGCGCGCGCCGCGCCGCCCGCAGCCCGCATCCTCCGGCTCCCGCGGCCCGGCCTAGCTGCCTTCCCTGGGCGCCCTGTCCTGGAGCCATGGCGCCCACCTAGCCCCGGCCTGCCCCGATGTCCGCGCCCGGGCGCTGCTGACCCCGGCCGCAGGGGGAACGCCCCCCGCGGCCCCTGGCCAGCCTCCGCGGCCAGAGACCCTGGGTGAGCCCCCGGCTGCGGCCTCCCAGCCAGGGTCGCCTCCCACCCCGCCCTGCCCGCGCCTGCCCCCGCGCCGGCCGCCCCTTCCTCCTCCTCCTCCTCGCAGGACTGGACCCCAGACGCGGCCGTCGTGGCCAGCGCCCCAGCTCCCGCCGGCCGGCCCTAGGAGCCCGCGGGGCTGCCGGGGTCCCCCCCGGCTCTGGCAGGACCAGGATGCTGCCCCGACCCCCAGCCCCCAGCCCCAGCCCACGCCAGCGTCCCCCCGAGCGTCCACGCTGACAGCAGGCAGCCCGATGCCGGCTGACCCCGGGCCCGAGGCGGGCAGCGGCTGGCCGGGCCTCCTCATGTCCTGCCTCAAGGGTCCCCACGTCATCTTCAAGATGGAGGCCATGAAGCTGGTGCACCCCGAGAAGTTCCCCGAGCTGCCGGCGGCCCCGCGGCCTGCGCCTGCGCTGGCCCCGAAGCGGGCCTGGCCCTCTGACACCGAGATCATCGTCAACCAGGCGTGCGGGGGCGATGTGCCCGCCCTGGACGCGGGGGCGCCCCGCACGCCGCCCCTGCCGCGCCGGCCCCGCAAGGGCAGCGTGGAGCTGGGCTTCCCGCGCGTGGCGCCGGCGGACGAGGTCATCGTGAACCAGTACGTGCTGCGGCCGGGCCCTGCGGCCAGCGCGGCGGCGTCCGGGGCGGGCGCCGTGCCCGGCGAGCCCCTGCAGTGCCCCACGTGCGGGCACACCTACAACGCAGCGCAGCGGCGGCCGCGCGTGCTCTCCTGTCTGCACTCGGTGTGTGAGCAGTGCCTACAGATCCTCTACGAGTCCTGCCCCAAGTACAAGTTCATCTCCTGCCCCACCTGCCGCCGCGAGACTGTGCTGTTCACCGACTACGGCCTGGCCGCGCTGGCCGTGAACACGTCCATCCTCAGCCGCCTGCCGCCCGAGGCACTGACCGCCCCGGCGGGCGGCCAGTGGGCGGGCGAGCCGGAGGGCAGCTGCTACCAGACCTTCCGGCAGTACTGCGGCGCCGCGTGCACCTGCCACGTGCGGAACCCGCTGTCCGCCTGCTCCATCATGTAGTGCCCGGCAGTCCCTGCTCGCGCCGCCCCTGCCCCTCGCTGCCCGCTCGCTCTTCCTCGCCCACCCGTCTTCAGTGGCTTCCGGCCCCACCCCTTGTGGCACTATTGCTCCAGCCAACTTCGCCATTAAAACTCTGCCAAAGTTTGCCCCCGTGCCCTTCTGTGCAGCCAGACAGCTCCGGCGCAGGCCCGGGGCAGTCGGGGCAGTTGCCCGGTGACCATTTGTTGCTCCGTGGGGCCGAGGCCAGGCCTGCTGCTCAGCCCAGTGAGTGTGTCTGGCTGAGGTCATGGAGGACGAAGGGGCTCAGAGTGGAGCAGGGACTGCCTGAACGGCGGATCGGGGTGAGCAGGCTGGCTCAGCCGTGTTTATTGTGCCACTGCTCAGGTACCCCCAAACCCGGGGAGGGGGGCATGGCCATGCAGTCGGCTGCCAGGGCAGGGTGGGCAAGGAGTCCCGACGGGCTGCTCACGTGGGATCAGGCCCCTCCCCTGGGCCGCCCTGACCTTCAGGTCTGTCCATGTTGGCGCCTGCTGCTCCCAGCCTGTCCTGTGGTGGTGTCCTTGGGGTGGTGTCCTTGGGCTGGGTGATGCCCCTGCCAGGGAAGGCCACGGCGTGGGGCCGAGCTCAGCGACGTGCCCCGTCCAGCAGCAGGAATAGCAGGCCCAGCAGGGTGAGCGGGGCGAAGATGAGCAGCAGGCCCAGCAGCTCGAGCCCCAGCAGGCCCAGCAGCACCAGGCGGCGGGCACAGGGTCCCCGTTCCCGCAGTGCCCACAGCCGGGTCCCCAGGCCGGGCGGGCAGGGCAGGAAGGGCAGGAAGCCCCGGCCGCCCACGGGTCCAGCCAGGAAGCGTAGCTGGTAGCGGTGCTCCAGGCAGCCCCAGGGGCCAGGGCTCCGGCCCGGCGGGGCGGGTGGTGTCGGGGGCCGGGGCCGCTGGGGTGCGTCGGCCTGCAGCAACTCCTCCTGCAGCCGGCAGATCTCCCACTCCAGCACAGGTGTCCTCTGACGACACAACGGGCAGCGCACACGACCCAGGTCCACGGTGGGCGCTATGCCCAGCAGCCGGTGCAAGCAGCCCAGGCACAGGCCGTGGCCACAGTTCAGCAGGGCCAGGCGGCGCTGGCCGGGCCCGTAGGGCTCCGTGCAGACAGGACACTCCTCTGGGGCCTCGCCCTGCTCCCGCCCGGCCGGCAGCGCCCACACACTGTCCAGGGCCACGGCCCCCAGCAAGGGCTCGCTGTCCTGTGGCCGAGCATCCCCCTCATCTGCTGGCCCCTGGCTCGGCAGGTCCAGGCCCTGGGGGCTGGGAGAAGCCTGAGGCCGACTGCTGGGCCCATAGCAAGGCTGGGTCAAAGTGGAGGTGAGGTGGCCCAAGCCAGGGGAGGGGGCCCTGGGGCAGGAGTCAGGGCTGGTGGTGGCAGGGGACCCCAGTGTGCTGACAGGGGTGTTGAGCGCGAGGGTCAGCGAGGCCCGGGGCCGCACAGGGCCTGGACTCCACCCTGGCTCCAGCACTGACCTCCAGTGGTCTCCAGATGTCACCCACCCGTGGGACCTAGCAGCGAACAGGCCCACGAGCTGCTGGCCCCTGCCACGTCCAGTCCCGGTCAGCAAGTGTCCGTGAGATGCCCGACTGCAGTGGGGGAGGCAAGCACCGCCCAGCTCCCAGACCGGATTTCCCAGTTGGAGCAGCCACACCCCTCCCTGCTGCGCCCCTCCCAGTGCCACCTCCGCGTATTAAACCAGGCAGCCCAGCAGGTGCACACACATGGGCACACCCACCCCAGGTCCTCACTGTCCCCAGGGACCCTGGTACCACAGCCCACCCACCGCCCAGGACACCAGGTCAAGCAGAAACAAAGAACACACACAGCTGGGGTCCCAGTGCTTCCGTTTACTCTCTGGGCTCGCGAGGTCAGGACCCAGCCTAGGGAGGCCAGGAGCGGCCCAGTGGACAGGTCCAGGGTGGACGTGGACAAAGCTGTGAAGTGGTGGGAAGGGCAGCCTGGACCCAGGACAAGGCCCACGTCGTCTGCCCCAACGCTCCAACAAGGTCTGACTGAGTGAGGGCATGGCCTCAGGTCAGATGAGGCTGGAGGGCCAGGCGGGGTCAGGCCCATGTCTCCGTCTGGAAGCGCCGGGTCCGCTCCAGCCTGGCCAGGTAGGCGGCAGCCTCGGGGCCGGAGAGCCTGCCCTCGCGCTGCAGGATGGCTGTGACGGCCTCAGAGACCTCTGCCGGCAGGTGCTTGGCGTTGCTGCGGGTGGCCAGGAGCAGGTGAGGGGGCGCAGAGCCCCGGGCAGGGAGCCCCTCCTCCCCGCAGCCCCTTACCCTGCCAGGTAGAGGCAGGCCCCACGGCGGTCTAGCAGCTCCCACACCAGCGGCCCGTGCTCCCGAAGACGGTGCTGCACATACACCTTGTACTCCTAGGAGGGAGTGTGGGGTGTGAGCCGGCACCCCCTTCCATGCGCCCCACCCACCCCGGCACCCACCTGCTCCCGGGAGAAGGCCGTGACCAGCGCCAGGCAGCCGCGCGCCTCCAGGAGCTGCCACTCTGCCTCCCAGTAGAAGTCTTGGTCCCGTCGGCGGCAGCCGAAAAATAAATAGTTCCCTGGGGAGGATGCACAAGGGGGCCTCGAGCCTGTCCAGGCCCAGCAGCCCTCTCCCCACAGCCCTGCATACTCACCGGTCCGGCCCTGGGCCACGCGCTCCTGCACTGCAGCTCGGAAAGGGGCCACGCCAGTGCCTGCCCCGACCATGATCACTGGCGTGTCCGGCGTGTCAGGGAAGGTCAGGCCCCCGGGTCGTACCCACAGGGGCACCTGGACGGGTCCTGCGGTGGGAGGGAGGTGGCATGAAGGGGCTTGGGGCTGGGCCGGGCCGAGGGTAGGGAACAGGGGTCACCTTGCGCAGGGTCCAGGGAAGCCAGCCAGGATGAGCAGAGGCCGCGGCGTGGCTCCTTGAGGCGGGTCCGGTACTGCACCACGGCCACCAAGATCTGTAGCCGCGAGGGGTGTACCTGGGGTGGGGACAGCAGGCGCTGCGTTGGCCTGGACCAAGGTGCTGTCCAGAGGCTGGCCCGCCCACTGGCCTGCACCGGCTCACTCACCAGCAGGGAGGAGGCGATGGAGAAGGCCCGGGGCCGGATTGGAGGAATGAGGTCCAGCAGGTAGTCCGGAGGGACAGCGGCCGCAGAGTGCGGGAAGTCACACAGCACCTAGGGTGGGCATTGGGAGTGGCAGGGCTTGGCGAGCAGGGGCAGGGCCTGGGGCCCTGGGTGAACAGGCACCCACCCGGCCTCACCTCCAGCACTGTCCTACGGGGCCGTGTGCAATACTCATGCCGCTCTTCCTGGCCGGGCCCCGACGCCAGCTCCATCAGCTTCTCCCGCTCCAGCTCATGGGGTGAGAGGCAGGCCAGTAGCTCGAAGAAGGAGCGACGGGGCACGCTGGCAATGTCCAGGTACTGTGACACCAGGTGCCTGACAGAGCAGGGTTGGGGCAGTCCCACGAGGTTGGGGGCATCTGCAGTGGCCAGCAGGAGGCCTTGGTGGCCGGTGGAGGACATGGGTGGGCAGGGAAGGGCAGAGGAGGGTCAGCTCCACCCGGCTCACCTGGCTCCTGTGGCTCCAGCAGGAAGTGCCGGTCAGGGTCCAGGCCCAGCACCTGGCAGAACTGCTGGACGTGCTGGGCGGCATTGGCTGGCTGGATCAGCACCACGTCGCCGGCAGTGTAGCTGGTGGGAGGGGAGCCATGTCGGCGGGGCTGGGGGTTTGGCCAGCCCCCTGGGACTCTGCCCACAGCCCTCACCTGATGCCAGAGCCTGCTATGTCAAACTCTATCAGGCGAACGTCCTGGAAGTGCGTGGGGCCGGTCACCCGCTGGTTGCTGACGACGGGGGCCAGGAAGGGCCGTGCCTCTGTAGGGGCGCCCCGAGGCTCAGCCACGTGTGGCTCCTCTGGGCTCCTACTGGGGGACTCCTGGAGGAACTGCAGGGTGAACCTGGCAGGGAGGCTGTGGGGAGGGGCAGGTGTCACACCTGGGCTTCTTTCTGGGGCCCCGCCCACCCCACTGCAGGGCTGACGGGCCCCAACTCACGGGACTCCGGGGGGGATCACAGTGAGGCCGGGCGGCACAGGCAGTAGCGGCAGGACCTTCCCCCATAGGTCATGCAGCCAGGGGTCCATGGCAGCATCAGGCCTGGGCAGACGGGCACAGCTTAGGACGTCACGTGGGGGGCCTTGCCGGTGGGCCCCAGCACCCCCTGGGCCAGCCACTCACCCCAGCTCGTGCTGGTCGTCCCCCAGGCAGGCGGGCAGCAGGGCGCTGCCCCCTAGCTGCAGCAGCCGGCGGTGCAGCTTCTTGGCCACAAAGTTGAACCTGCAGGGACAGCCAGGCTGGCCCAGCCCTGGAGAGCAGCCCTGTCCCTCTGCTGGCCCATGCCTAGCATAGGCTGTGCTGTCACCCGCCCCACTGCCTGTTCTCCACCACACGAAGGGGAGCTGAGGCACGCTGGCCCTGGGGGTCTGGACAGCCACGTGCCACTGGGATACCACAGGGCCCCCACTCACTTGGCATAGGAGGAGTCCCCGAAGCCCAGGACGGCGAAGTCCAGCTGGCAGAGGGAGGTGTGCGGCAGCTGCTTGCGGAATATGAACCGCCAGAAACTCTGCAGCCACAGCAAGCCGTCAAAGGCCCGGGCAGGGGCAGCAGGGACTGCCTCTACAAGAGGTGGCTGACCCAGCGCCCACACCCACGTGGCCAGAGGAAGCCTGGCCCGGGCCTGCTGGGTGGGGGTGAGGCAGTGGGTGATCACTCCCCTTCCCTCCCTACAAGTATGGAGAAAACTCGGACACCATGCGAGACCCCGGAGGCAATGCCAGCCCAGAGCCATACCGCTGGGGTAGGGACAGCCTTCTCGGGACAGGCCCACCTGGCCCTGGCACCCAGGAGCGTCTGGGGCCTTGTCCCTTTGTCTCCCACCAGAGCTGACCCCTCCGTGGCCCACTACACCCCACAGCACTGGCTTCCTGCTGCGTCCACTGCCCGTCTGTGGGTGTGCTAGGGCGGATGTGGGGCCCCCTCAGACCCAGGACTGACCCAGAGCCCAAGCTGCAGGCTGGCTGACAAGCCAATCTGCCTGCTTGGTGCCCTCACACGTGCCCCACTGCCCACCAGGACACCCCAGCTCATCTGGGATCTTTCATTTCAGCCTGGCCAGCTCCCTGCCACACCTGCTGGGTCTCTAATTGTGTCCTGGTCGTGTGCTCCATATCCTGACTGTATGCTGCGTGTCCCGACCGTGGGCTCTGTATCCTGACTGCCTGCTCCATGTGCCAACCGTGTGCTTCATGTCCTACTGTGTAGTCCCGGCTGTCTGAGCTTGGGTGTTGAATCCCTTGCCTGCCTCTACTCTCCCTGCTGTGCTCCGAGCACGTGGCACCCTCCAGGGCTCTCTGAGCAAATATCCACTATGTGGCTGTCCCACAGCGATGGTGATGGGCCAGCTTTGTTCCATGGCCCCACAGCCTTCTCAGAAGACGCCTCCGGCTTCCTGTGGGCCGTGGGACGGTCACTGGCACCACTGTGTTGCAGGGACCCAGGAGGTGTCTGCCCCTCCATGCATCTCCGTTTTGAGTTCCCTGGCCTGTGGCTGGTCTGATTTTGTTTGACCTCCCTGTGGCTTTGAGTTGGAGTCCATGCTGAGCCCCCCATTCCTCCCCTCCCAGCCCTGGCTGCTGGGCATCCTCCTTCACACTTCTGGGCACCCACTGTGCCCTGGAGGCCCGGCCACTACCACGTCTGTGCACTCGGTGGACCTGCTGTCCACCATGCCTTGCAGCCCTCGTCCACTGTGTGGCCTGTACCCATGACTCCCTGCATGCCACGTCCACCGCGTGACCCACACCCATGGACCCCTCTACCCCATGTCCCCACGTTCCATGTCCGGGCACACGGTCAGGATGCAGACCACACAGGGCCATCACCCCACCCCACGGCCCCCTCCACCCCACCGCTGGCCCCTCAGGACTCGGCCTATCCCCCTTCCCTTCCTCGAGGGCTGGCCACGGGCCCGGGCCAGCGCTGCCCGCGGAGGGCCACGCACCTTCATGTTGTCCGGCGGGTCTCCCTGGCCCGCGGTGGCGCAAACGAAGATCGCGAGGGGCTCGTGGATCAGGTTCGCCTGCAAGGGAGACAGGCGCCTGAGGCTTGCTCGGGGTTCCCAGGACGCCTCGCTCGGCGTCGAGGTTCCCAGGACGGCTCTCGCGGGGTCGGGGTCCCCAGGACGCCCCGCGTCCTCACCACTGGGTACGCGTCCAGCGCCTGCACGCGGCAGCCCAGCCCGCGGCGCCGCGCCTCGCGGCCGAGCCTCTCCGCCGCATCCTGCGCCGTGCCCGTCTGGCTGCCGAAGAGCACCAGGAGCTGCGGGCGCGCCATGGGGACCCGCGGCCCAGCGGCCGCCGTCGCCCGGAAGTGACGATCCGCGCCCGGGTGCTGCCGGCACGCCGCCGTCGCCCGGAAGTGACGCGCCGCGCGGCTCGCAGGGCCGAGGCCGGTCAGCGGGCCGCCCGGGGCGGGCGCGCGGCCATGCTGTTCTCGCTGCGGGAGCTGGTGCAGTGGCTGGGCTTTGCGCCCTTCGAGGTCTTCGTGCACCTGCTGGCCCTGCTGGTGTTCTCCGTGCTGCTGGCGCTGCGCGTGGACGGGCTGGCGCGCGGCCTGTCGTGGTGGGCCGCCTTCGCGCCGCTGTTCGCGGCCGACGGGCTGAGCGCCTACTTCACCACCATCGTGGCGGTGCGCCTGTTCCAGGACGGCGAGCGGCGGCTGGCCGTGCTGCGCCTCTTCTGGGTGCTCACCGTGCTCAGCCTCAAGTTCGTTTTCGAGATGCTGCTGTGCCAGAAGCTGGCCGAGCAGGCGCGCGAGCTGTGGTTCGGCCTCATCGCGTCGCCCGTCTTCATCCTGCTGCAGCTGCTCATGGTCCGCGCCTGCAGGGTCAACTAGCGCCCGGCGTGGAGTGCAGCCCTCGGCCGCTGGCATGGACCCAGGAGCCCAGGCCAGCGCCCTGAAGAGCCGGCCCGCCCGAGACCGAGTGCCGCGGCCGCCCCGGGCCCGCGGCCGGAGCTGCGGGGACACCCAGCCCTAGGACCGCGCGCCTTTGCGCTCCACGATGGCCGAGATCCAATAAAATGTTCAGTGTTCCCCCCGGGAGGTGTGTGTCCTCCATGCACGGTGTGTGTGTCTGTGTGTCTGTGTCTCCCAGGGTCAGGCCGGGGGGCGGCACCCCGACGCCGGGCCGAGGATGGACTCGGAACGCAGACGAGTGCCGGCCAAGTGGGCAGGGCCACCGTGATCCATCGCGTGGGACATCACCAAGTCCCCCATGAAACCGCATTGCCCCAGGAGCAGTCACTGACCGGCCCTTCCCAGAGCGGGCTGTGTGGCCCCTTGCCTGGGGAGGCCTGGCTGCTGGTGGAGCTTCCCTTCACAGCGGGGTCCTCCTGCTGGAGGATCCGGACAGACTGTGCCTTCTAGAACAGCCTACGGGGCAGGGCAAGGCCCGTGCTGACCACCGCAGCATCCCTGGGCAGGCGAGGCCCCGGCTGGGAGCTCACCGCCCACGAAGGCGGGCTGGGCGCTGGCGCGACGAGGAAGTTCAGCAAGGTCACTCCTGCGCCGAGTCCAGGGGTCCACCCCGGCCGTCCGCCAGGTCCTGCCCCGCCCAGCGCGCCCCGGGGTGCTGCGGCCCAGGGCGCAGAGGCGGAAGTCGGGGCTGCCAATGAGCGGCGCGAGCACCACGGGGCCCGGGTGTCGGCCAGTGGCCGGCGCGCAGGCTGGGCTGGGCCGGCCTCCCCGAGTGGGCGGCGCCGGGGCCAGCGGCGCTCGGGGTGCTCCGGGTGCTCAGTCCGGTGCGCGCTGGCTCTGGCCGCCGCGCTCTCCGCCATGGCCGGCCTGGGGCGGGCGCCGGCGCCGCGCGGCGTGATGCCCGCCTGGAAGCGGGAGATCCTGGAGCGGAGACGCGCCAAGCTGGCCGCGCTGGGGGCGGCGCCGGCGGCCGAGCGGCCGGTGCTGGCAGAGAGTCTCGGTCCGCTGCGCGAGAACCCGTTCTTGCGGCTCGAGTCGGCGCGCGCGGCTCCGCCGCTGCTGGACCTGTACCGTCGAGTCCCGGGAGTGCGCGCCATCCGCGCCGACAACATCCTTATCATCGAGTCGGCGCCCGGCTCCCCGCCCGCCGGTCCCCCTGCGCCCGCCGGCACCGCCCGCATCCGCGCCGCGGAGGTGCTGGTGTACGAGGAGGTTCCGCCCGCCGGCCGCGTCAGCCGCCTGCTGGAGAAGTTCGACCCTCCGGCCGCGACGCGCCCCCGCGGGAGCCCGGAGCGCACCCGTGCCCCGGCGCCGGCCACCCCGCGCGCCCCGCCGACCGCCCCGCGCGCTCCGCCGACCGCCCCGCGCGCCCCGCCGCCGCCGGCCGCCCCGCGCGCCCCACCGCCACCGGCCGCCCCGCGCCTCAGCGAGCGCCCCGGTCGCTCGCCGCCAGCCGCGCGCCCCGGAGACGGGCCGGGCCCCGGCCTTCGGCGCAGCGAGTTCCTGCAAAAGACGGGCAGCAACTCCTTCACCGTCCACCCGCGCGGCCTGCACCGAGCCACGGCGCCCGAACCCCGGCCGGCCGAGTGGAAGCCAAAGGCGGGGACGCCGGCGCCTCCCGCCAGCCCCGGGACCCCGAGTGCCACCGCCACTGCGCCCAGCCCCGCCAGTGCCACTCCCAGCCAGCGCCAGTGGGTCGCGTCCGCCACCAGCGCCAACGACTCCTTCGAGATCCTGCCGGCCCCCGCGCCGGACTGGAACGCTGTTCCCCCGGGCGATCTGCAGGCCCGGGCCCTAGCCAGCCTCCGCGCGAACTCCCGCAATTCCTTCGTGTTTGTCCCCAAGCGCAAGGCTCCTGCGGCCGCTCCTCCCCAGGAACCGCCCCGCGCGGAGCGGCCACAGAGGGAGGTGGGCTGTGCCTCCCCGGGCCACCGGGAGTCTGGAGCCCAGCAGGCTGCTCTGGGGAGGATTCCCTCGGCGCCCGAGGAGGAGGAGGAGGAGGAGGGCGGCGGCCCCAGGCCAGGTGTCACGCTCACGGACGGCGGCGGCGATGGCCGCTCTGGCAGATGGCCGAGGCCCTCCTCGCCCCCGGCTGCGGTGGTCGCAGAGCCCGCCGAGGGCCACCTGGCTCCTGGCCCAGCCAAGAATGGCCAGGAGTCGGGGCTACCGGTCACCTTTATTGATGATGTGGACTCGGAGGAGGACGAGGAGCCCCAGGACACCAGGCTGCCCTGCCCGGGGCTCCCCAGGCCCTCTGCCGAGCTCCGGCACCGGGGCACCAACACCTTCGTGGTGGTGCCCAAGAGGAAGCCGGGTGTCCAGCAGGAGCCAACCCCTGGTGAGCCGCGGCCGTTTGGGCCGGATGGGGCGCGGCAGGACGAGGCCGGAGGCCTGCTGAAGAAGCGCTACCCCACGGTGCACGAGATCGAGGTGATTGGCGGCTATCTGGCCCTGCAGAAGTCCTGTCTCACCAAGGCCGGCTCCTCCAGGAAGAAGGTTAGTCAGGGGCCATGGGCACAGCCTGCTCCTGGGAGTGGGCTCTGCTGGCCCGTTCCTGGGGTGAGTCCTCAGGGCTGTGTCTTCAACTGGCCTGGTACATTGGCTCTAGTCTCTCAGGACAGCCTGCTGTGGTCAGGAGAGAGTGGGGTATGCGGGGTCCCTGCTTCTCGGTCTGCTGGGCCTGGCAGGTGCCAGGGGGTGGCCAGGCCCTGGCTGTGTAGGAGCTGTTTGGTGCTGTGTATACGTGTGTTTACATGTATGTGTGCTGTGTCTGTGCGTGCACGAGCCCCACCCCAGGGTGTGAGCCAGGGCCACTGGGGAAAAGGCCCGTGTTGCTGGGGGCAGCGGATGGCAGGTGAGCCTGGCTGCCTGCGGCACTGGAGCCCAGGCCTGGATCCCTCTGGGCACTGCAAATGCTCTGGGATTCTTCCTGGTCCTTTCAGCTGCCAGCTTTTGTCCCCTAGGGGAAATTTTGAGGCCTCCCTGCTGCCTGCCCATTTTCCCTTGGTCCTGAGACCATATCAGGCCCTGGCCAGGTGCCCCGGCCCCTCCCTGGGCTGGGGCATTGCACCTGCCCCACCCCTCATGTGTTTCCAGCAAGGATGGCAGGGCAGGGCCTGGTGGACCAACACCCAGCTTGCTTCCTCTCTGCGAGGTAGTCCTGGCTCACCCCTGCCCACAGATGGGTGTGCTGAGGGCAGGGCCATGTCGGTCCACCGTGGGCCTGGCCATGTGCCGGGCTGCTGTCCACAGCCTGGCACTTCATCTCCAGCAGGAACCAGGACCATGGGGGGTCACTGGGGTTAGAAGAGGTGGTGGGAGGTGGGGCCAGAGCAGGCCCCGTCACTGTGCCAGCCCCAGGGTGGGGTCCAGATGGATGAGCCTGGCATGGCCAGGTGACCTGCTGGCCGCGACTTCCGCCTGTGCCTGCACCAGCTGCCCTGCCCAGGAGGAGCCAGGTGCCTGCTGGTCGGGCTGAACTGTGGGCAGCCCACACTGCCCCTTCCCGACGCTGTGTGGTATTTGGTGTGACATATAGGCTTAGAGGTCCTCCGTCCACTGCTTCACTCCCCAAGTGGCCGGCGGTGGCTGAGGGGGCAGCTGGACTGGAAGGTGGGCAGCGACTGGGATGGCGGCATGATGGGTGGTACCAGCCTCAGCCGGGTCACTTTCCTGTTGGAGGGGGGAGGGGGACCCCGGCTCAGGGTCCAGATTGGCGGATGTCCCTTCACACCCTGACGCCCGTCCCCCTGCGATATGGCATGTATCTGAACAGGCTCCCACCGGTCTGACCATTCCTCCCTCTCTGCCCATAGCCTGGCAGTGCCGGCCCCACCCGCAGCCTCTGCTGCCTGCCTTCATCCCCCCAGCCCATGGGGCGGGTGGGGGCTGGGAGGCAGTTGTGCCTGCTGGGGCTCAGCCCCGGGTAACTGGAGCTGGGCGTGAACCAGCTGGGCGGGCTGGGCAGAACAAAGGCCCCTGTGAGAGCCACAGCCCGGGGCCCACCTGTCTGCCTCAGTGTGGGGCAAAGTCCTCAGGAGGCTGGCCACACCCCCCGCCCGTCCTGCTTCCGGCCCGGCAGCATGAGTCAGGGGTTGTCCAGTGACCCACTGACCTGTACCCTCCGGGGCCCCAGCTGGGGGCAAATGGGTCTGTGAACCAGGCTGTACCAGGCTCTGTGTGCCCAGCCCCCATGGCCCTGCCACAAGGAGCTGGTCAGGTGGACACAGTGCTGACCCCCAGCCCTAGCAGCCTGCCTGCCTGTGTCTGTGGCCAGCCCCGGACCCTTTGGGAGTGCCCATCCTGGAGGGACGAGTTGACCCTGTGCCCAGGCTAGCTAGTGTGCTGGAGGCCCAGACAGCTTGGCACCCACTGTGATGGCCATAGCCCTGCCCAGTCTGCTGTGGGCATGGTCAGCAGGTTCTCACCGGTGCTGTGAGCCCAGCTGGCCGAGCAGATGGCCACAAAGCAGGGCCTGGCTCCTGTGTGAGAGCTGTGCCCACTCGCCCTGGCCATGGGACGGGGGTGAGGTGGCAGTTTCTGGACCCTGCAGCCAAGGCCAGCTCCCTGCCTGTCCCCCATTGAGGCTGGGCGCAGCCCCGAGGCAGCAGGAAGAACTTGAACTTGAGCTGGCCATGTTCCGTGCCCGGGAGGAGCTTGTATTTCGAGCTGGGGAATGGCTGCATATTCATTACTGGACGCAGCAGGCGCCCCATGCTCCCGGGAGCTTAGCCCCTGTGCAGCCCCCGATCTGCAGAGGCCTGGGTGGGAGGGGCTAGCCCCTGGCACCCAGTCTGGGGACTGAGGCTGCTTGGGGTGGGGAGGATGGGGCAGTATGCTGTTGGCTCAGCCCGTGCACGGCTGCCTGGTAGCGCCCAAGGGCTGGTTTGGGACCGGTCAGCCGTGGGCGCCCGGCAAGGGGCCTGCTGGCATCCCCGTGACCGACAGGTGACTCTTACAGATGAAGATCTCCTTCAACGACCAGAGCCTGCAGACCACCTTCGAGTACCCTTCAGAGAGCTCCCTGGCACAGGACGAGGAGGAGGAGGACGAAGAGGAAAGGGAGGACGAGGAGGAGGATGACGAGGCGGGGTCCGGCCTGGAGGAGAAGCCCTTTGCACTCTTCCTGCCGCGGGCCACGCTTGTGAGCAGCGTGGTACCCGAGAGCCCGCGGCTGCCAGATGGTGGCTCAGGTGGGTGCCCGCCTGCTCCTGTGGGGGCCGGGAGTGGTGAGCCCAGCCACGTGCCCACATGTCCTCCCCTGCCCCCAGGCCTGTCCAGCTACACTCCTAAGCACTGCGTGGCCTTCAGCAAATGGCAGGAGCAGATGCTGGAACCCGTGGCTGTGCGTGAGGCAGAGCCACCGCCACAGGAGGTCACGGTGAGCTAGCCCACCGGGGCCAAGCCTGTGGGCGGGGTCCGTGGTGTGGCAGGGGGAGCCTCTGGTTGGGGCGGAGCCTGCGACTGGCACCACTCTCAGCATGCACCTTACCTTGCAGCTCACACCTGCCAGTCCCGACGACCTCTCTGACTTCCGCAGCGAGCCAGCCCTCTACTTCTGACGCCCACATGGGCACCGCCAGGATGGCCAAGGCTGGGCCCCCGGTGCCCCCCCCCCCCCGTCGGCTTTCTCCTCCCCTTGT